TTGGGTTGGGTTGGGTTATGGGTTAGGTTGGGTTGGGTTGGGTTGGGTTGGGTTGGGTTGATTAGGTTGGGTTGGGTTGGGATTTGGGTTGGGTTGGGTTGGTTGGGTTGGTTGGGGTTGGGGTTGTTGGAGTTGGGGTTGGGTTGGGGTTGGGTTGGGTTGGGTTGGTTGGGATTAGAGTTAGGTTAGAGTTAGGTTGGGTTGGTTAGGGGGCTAAAGTTGGGTTGGTTGGGTTGGGTTGGGTTGGGTTGGGTTGGTTAGGTTGGGTTGGTTGGGTTGGGTTGGGTTGGGTTGGGTTGGGTTGGGTTGGGTTGGAGTTGGGTTGGGATTGGTGAGTTGGGCTGGAATTGGGATTGGGTTGGGTTGGAGTTAGGTTCAGGTTGAGGTTGGGTTCTGGGTTAGATTGGGTTGGGTTGGGTTGGGTTGGGTTGGGTTGGGACCAGGGTTGGGATTGGAACAGGTTAGATTGGGTTGGGATTGGAGTTGGGTTGGGATTGGGTTGAGTTGGGTTGGATGGGATTGGGTTGGGATTGGGTTGGGCTGAGGCTGGGCTAGGTTGGGTTGGGTTGGGTTGGGTTAGCAGGTTGGGTTGGGGATTGGGAGGTGGGATTGGGTTAGGTTGGGTTTGGGTTGGGTTGGGTTAGGTTGGGTTGGGTTCGGTTGGGTTAGGTTGGGTTAGATTAGGTTGATTAGGTTCAGGTTGATTGGGTTAGGTTAGGTTAGGTTAGGTTCAGTTGGGTTGGGTTGGTTGGGTTGGGTTGGAGTTGGGTTCGGTTGGGTTAGGTTAGGTTTAGGTTGGGTTGGGTTGGGTTAGGTTGGGATTGGTTAGGTTGGGTTGGGTTGGGTTGGGTTACAGGGTTGGTTGGGTTGGTTGGGTTGGTTGGGTTGGACTGGGTTGGGTTGGGTTGGGTTGGGTTGGGTTGGGGGTTGGGTTGGGTTGGTTGGTTAGGTTGGGTTGGGTTGGGTTGGTTGGGTTGGTTGGGTTGGTTGGGTTGGGTTGGAGTTGGGTTGGGATGGGTTGGGTTGGGTTCTGGGTTGGGTTGGGTTGGGTTGGGTTGGTTGTTGGGTTGGTTGGGTTGGGTTGGGTTGGGGTTGGGTTGGGTTGGGTTGGAGTTTGGTTGGGTTGGGTTGGTTAGTTAGGTTGGGTTGGTTGGGTTGGTTGGTTAGATTGGGTTAGAGTTAGGTTGGGTTGGGTTTTGGGTTGGGTTGGTTGGGTTGGGTTGGGTTGGTTGGGTTGGGTTGGGTTGGTTGGGTTGGGTTGGTTGGGTTGGGTTGGGTTGGTTAGGTTGGTTGGGTTGGTTGAATTTGGAGTTGGGTTGGTTGGTTGAGTTGGGTTGGGTTGGGTTGGTTGGTTGGGTTGGAGTTGGAGTTAGGTTAGGTTGGGTTGGGTTGGGTTGGTTGGGTTGGGTTGGGTTGGTTGGGTGGAGTTGGGTTGGTTGGGTTGGAGTTGGTTGGGTTGGGTTGGGTTGGTTAGGTTGGTTGGGTTGGTTGGGTTGGAGTTGGGTTGGTTGGAGTTGGGTTAGGTTGGGTTGGGTTGGTTGGGTTGGGTTGGTTGGTTAAGTTGGGGTTGGATTTGGGTTGGTTGGTTGGTTAGGATTGGGTTGGGTTGGGTTGGTTGGATTCAGGTTGGGTTGGTTGGGTTGGGTTGGGTTGGAGTTGGGTTGGTTGGGATGAGTTGGGTTGGTTGGGTTGGGTTGGGTTGGTTAGGTTGGGTTGGTTGGAGTTGGGTTGGGTTGGGTTGGGTTGGTTGGGTTGGGTTGGTTGGTTGGGTTGGGTTTGGGTTGGGTTGGTTGAAGTTGGGTTGGGTTGGTTGGGTTGGTTGGGTTTGGTTGGGTTGGGTTCTTGGATTTGGGTTGGGTTGGGTTGGGTTGGGTTGGTTGGGTTGGGTTGGTTGGTTGGGATTAGGTTGGAGTTGGGTTGGTTGGGTTGGTTGGGTTGGTTGGGTTGGGTTGGGTTGGGTTGGGTTGGTTAGGTTGGGTTGATTGGTTGGGTTGGGTTGGGTTGGTTAGGTTGGGTTGGTTGGAGTTGGGTTGGGTTGGGTTGGGTTGGTTGGGGTTGGGTTGGGTTGGGTTGGTTGGGTTGGGTTGGTTGGGTTGGGTTAGGTTAGGTTGGGTTGGGTTAGGTTTACAATGTTTTATTACACTAGGAGAGAATAATATTATATATATTTATGTATTTCTGTGATAAAATATATTTTGGCACAATCGATTGTAATAGAAGAAGGGATGCGGGTGCACTACTAACACTATCATCGTCAGGGCTGGTGATCCACTTCGCCTGACGTAAACATCGCCTCCGCTTATAAACAATCAACTTAATCTACCTAAGCCCCGCCCACTTCTGTATTGACCAATGAAATCCATCGTACGAGTCATTTGTTTACATTCGAGCGACCAATGGGATTCATCTTTACATTTGAGCTTGACGCTGACCAATAAACGCTTGACTCCTTACAGTATAATATTTCCTCTAAACTCTGTAATATAAAATAAACAAAAATTTCCTTCAGGAACACGACCTCCTGCCTGATATTGTTGTCACCCCTGCTGTTGGTTCGTCTCCTTCTCCCTGGCTGGATTTTCAACCTGAAGTGATTGCCCTCGGTGGACCGCTCCCGTAATCCCAGGTGAACCCTGTTATTCTCTGCAAATACCACCTCTCCAGGATCGCCCACTGGTCCCCAGGTAGGGTCGTCCTCTACACTGATGGTTCTGTTGACCCCGCTACAGGTAGGGCCGGGGCTGGTGTCTACATCTCCCGTCCTGATGCCCCTGAGCCTATCAAACTGTCTCTCAGAGTTTCTGGCGGGGCATCCTTCACTCAGGCTGAACTAATAGCCCTCCTTGCTGCCCTTCTCGCTGAGGAAGAAGCAGATGGTTTCTGCCCCTTGCTTGTCTGCTGCGATTCCAGGTCTGCTCTCGACGGGATCGCATTTGGATCAGGGGAAAATAAGGACCTCATCCTCCGAATACGAGGGTTAACATCCACACTTCAGGATGCAGGCCGTCCTGTGACATTCCTATGGATACCCAGTCATGTCGGTATCTTGGGGAATGAGGCAGCAGATGGCCTTGCCAAGACTGGCTGCAACAAGGCCACACCTGACTACGTTGTTCCTCGAACACTCTTACAGATTAGGACCCAAATTCGCCGCAAACAGAGAGAAGCTCGGGAAGCAGCCATCCCCCTGGACTCCCTGCCCACCTGGTACGATGTCCTCCGTAAACTTCCTGACCTCTCGTACGTCTACGGGAAAGGGTCGCGGAAAGGGGACGTGATTGCTGCCCGTATCATCATTGGGTATGACTTTGCTTGGGAGATTGGTATCCCCGCATCCCCTGAGCAACGCTCTTGTGCATTATGCAGAAGACCCGACAGCAGCACCCTTATCCACTACCTCCTAAGATGTCCCCACACACAACGCTTCCGTGACGCCTGCTGGACCACCACTCCACGACCCCCTGACGGAGACACGATGATCCTCCCCATACTGGCCAGATATTTTGTAAATAACATTGATTATGTGTTAAAGGAATATCCTTCCTTCCTTAGGCTTTAGTAAGCCCCTTTATAATATTTATACTGTATATACTTGTCACACTTGCCAGATGCTTCTGGTGTCATTGTACAGGGGTACCTAGTGACAGCACTAGGATCCCGCTTCCTCTATCAAGGAATAAACAATTGAAATTGAATTGAACAAAAATTTAGTTCTGAGTACAGTGTTGTTATTGCAGTTTAAGATGTGTCATTACGCTAGGAACTGTTCCCTAGCAACCAGTTCATTGTGTGTGAACCGACATGGTTGCTAGGGAGACGGAGGTGGGCGGAGCTTAGTTCATGTTCTACACTACTGTTACATAAATGGTTTATATACGTCACTAACCTCTACAGTATGAGGTAATGAGTTGTAAACACAGTACACAATTGGTTAACATGCTAGTGACGTCATCTTGAGACGCTGATAATACTGTGACGTCAGAAGTAGTGACCGCAATAACTTGTTTATAAATAGTAGTTAATACGACTACTGTGACGTCATGAGCAGTTGTTATATCTATTTAGTCAAAAATATATCAGACAGTAATACTATGTGACTCATGAGAGGCAGACGCCATACTGATGACGTCATAGCTTCTGGTCACTCATAGTCAATGACTTTATGACGTCACAAGAGGCAGCCGCCATATATATGACATCATAATACGGTAGTTCATATTTTTCAAGTGAAGTCACAGTGAGGTGATTGGACATATATTCGCGACGTCAGGAATGACCGTCTCTTGTCTAGTCAGTTTTAGATGATAACGTAGTGTTCAACATCCAGTTTTAATCACAATAAATAAAGAACAGTATGAAGTTATTAATTATTAACCTCTTTCGTTTATTATTGTATTGTGCATTGTTTACTGAGGAATGACGTCATCAGTGCTCAGTATGTCTTTCCTGATTGGCTTATGTCAAGGTTATAGGCCATGACGATTGATGACGCCACTTTTCTCTCTCCTGATTGGCTACATAACATTCAATAACTTCCATACATATCACTATCAAGTAATATATAAGTTACCTTACATATAGAGGAACATATGTAGTGTAAATATAAGTCAATATATAGAGAAGAACAGCTTATACTAATATATACTGGCTATATGTATTTCTTTATATATATAAACTCTAACACTGACTCACAACAAGTTTATAATTTATATATATATGGTTAGGTTAGGTTAGGTTAGGTTAGGTTAGGTTAGGTTAGGTTAGGTTAGGTTAGGTTAGGTTAGGTTAGGTTAGGTTAGGTTAGGTGAGTCACTGCTCTTGGCCTTGGGGTCTTTCCTCTCTCCTCCATTTTCTCACTCCTTTCTCTTCTGTTTTCGTTATCTCTCATATTCTTTTTTTTATTTTCTTCTCTCTCTAATCTTCTTTCTCTCTTCTCTTCTCTCTCCTCTCTCCTCCTCTCTTTTTTATTCTCTGACAAATGACGATAAAATGAACTTAAATCAGAGGCTAACAGCGAGTGACTTAACCCATTTATATACAGACACACACACGTTATGGTCTCCGGGTACAATGTTGTGGTCTCCGGGTACAATGTTGTGGTCTCCGGGTACAATGTTATGGTCTCCGGGTACAATGTTGTGGTCTCCGGGTACAATGTTTTGGTCTCCGGGTACAATGTGGTCTCCGGGTACAATGTTGTGGTCTCCGGGTACAATGTTGTGGTCTCCGGGTACAATGTTTTGGTCTCCGGGTACAATGATGTGGTCTCCGGGTACAATGTTTTGGTCTCCGGGTACAATGTTTTGGTCTCCGGGTACAATGTTTTGGTCTCCGGGTACAATGTTATGGTCTCCGGGTACAATGTTACTCTCATAAGTTCACAAGTTAATTTTTGTTCACTTTTCTGTTCAAATACTGTTATTCAGTTCAAAAGTTCACATAACTCAGCATCGTGTAAGATCTTGAACGTTCAAAAATGCCTTGTTATTGTTCACCTTAAGTCACGTAAGATTATAATGAACATCCAGTACTTAAATATATGTTCACATCAGTTCAATATGTTCATAAAATCGGGTTCTATCGACTTAAATAACTTGACGGATGTTCCTGTTCACTTAACCCTTAAATAAGTTCACAGGTGTTCCCTTGACGGATGCTCCTGTTCACTTAACCCTTAAAAAAGTTCACAGGTGTTCCCATAAGTTCACAGATAAAAGTTCACCTCAATTTTGTTCAATTTTCGGAAGTTCACAGGTGTTCATTAAGCGTTCAAACACCTGTCTTTGTATTGTCTAGTTTCACTGATATTAACTTCCATTAGTTTGACTTCATCGAGGGTAAGTGACATCAGTTTGACTTCACGATGATTGAGTTCCTTCATTTTGACTTCACCAAGACTGAACATCATCAGTTTGACTTCACTAAGAATATATTGTCCATCACTTGACTTCACTAAGAATATATTGTCCATCATTTGACTTCACTAAGAATATATTGTCCACCACTTGACTTCATTAAGAATATATTGTCCATCACTTGACTTCACTAAGAATATATTGTCCATCACTTGACTTCACTAAGAATATATTGTCCATCACTTGACTTCACTAAGAATATATTGTCCATCATTTGACTTCACTAAGAATATATTGTCCATCACTTGACTTCACTAAGAATATATTGTCCACCACTTGACTTCACTAAGAATATATTGTCCACCACTTGACTTCACTAAGAATATATTGTCCACCACTTTGACTTTAACCAGTTTGGCTTCTATCAATTTGTCTTCCTCGGATATGACCTCCAGGATGGTGGTCGCGTCCTCAGACGAAGTTCTCACCGGCCTCTTGCTTGTGTGAGAGGCCAGGTGAGGTACGGAAGTGGTGAGTGACCGCTGCCCCACCACTCCTTACCTCCTGGACTATGGTGTTGGTGCACTCCTGTAGGATTCCTGTGGTTACTCCTCCTACAGACACTCCTAGAGCAAGTCCTCCTCCTCCTCCTACTCCACCACACACTCCAGTAGCTACACCTCCACCTCCTCCTCCAGATACCCCTACAGGTTCGACTCCACCATAGCCCTTAAAGTCACCTCCAGGTATGGGTCGCAGCCCTCCGTCACTCACCTGGATGTAATTAGTTAAGTTAGGTCAGGTCAGGTAAGGGGGTTAACAGGTCATAACTACATAGGTTAAAATTACTGTAGGTCAATATATATTACATTACAGGACCACCATCTACCACACTACCACCATCTACCACACTACACTACCACCATCTACCACACTACCACCATCTACCACACTACACTACTACCATCTACTGTACCACACTACACTACCACCATCTACCACACTACCACCATCTACCACACTACACTACTACCATCTACTGTACCACACTACACTACCACCATCTACCACACTACACTACCACCATCTACCACACTACACTACCACCATCTACCACACTACCTGACTGCTCATAGATGACGTGTGATGGATTACCTGTGGGTTAGTATTGTGAGAAGGAAAGAATACTAATGACTTTTACCTGAGACGCAAGGCAGGTGTAAGGTGGGCTGGAGAGGGGGTCGGAAGGGTGCGTGAAGGGGTCGTTTTCAGCGTGAAGATCATGCACGGTACAGGTCTTCACGCTGTCTTCTTCTATGCTGCCTCCTTCTCCTCTTTCTTCTCCTATTCCTCCTTCTCTTCCTCTTTCTCCTCCTCCTCCTCCTCCTCCGTGTTCAGTAAACATCTCCTCAGGTCCTGTAAGATGTACACAGATCCATAATTGAAGACTCTTGCTTTCTCTTTCTCTTTCTTTACTCACTCTTTTTCTCTACTCTTTTCTTTCCCACCTTCTCTTTCTCTCTATTCACTTTCCCTCTCTCTCTCTCTCTTCTATCTTTCTCTCTCCTCTCTTTCCCTATTCCTCTCTCTCTCTCCACTCTCTCTCTCTCTCTCTCTCTCTCTCTCTCTCTCTCTCTCTCTCTCTCTCTCTCTCTCTCTCTCTCTCTGATCAACACAACAAGTTCCACATTAATTAGAATTCTACACAGAGTGTTTCTCTCGTAGCAACATACCTCAGTAAACTGATTAAATATCTTCTGTTCTGTTACTTTCTAGAACGTAACCTAATCTAACCTAATCTAAAGTAACCTAATCTAACCTAATCTAACATAACCTAATCTAACCTAATCTAACCTAACCTAACCTAATCTAACGTAACCTAATCTAACCTAACCTAATCTAACGTAACATAATCTAACCTAATCTAACGTAACCTAATCTAGCCTAATCTAACGTAACCTAATCTAACCTAATCTAACATAACCTAATCTAACCTAATCTAACGTAACCTAATCTAATCTAATCTAATCTAACTTAATCTAACGTAACCTAATCTAATCTAATCTAATCTAATCTAACCTAATCTAACGTAACCTAATCTAACCTAATCTAACGTAACCTAATCTAACCTAATCTAACGTAACCTAATCTAACCTAATCTAACGTAACCTAATCTAACGTAACCTAATCTAATCTAACCTAATCTAACGTAACCTAATCTAACGTAACCTAATCTAACGTAACCTAATCTAACCTAATCTAACGTAACCTAATCTAACCTAATCTAACGTAACCTAATCTAACCTAATCTAACGTAACCTAATCTAACCTAATCTAACGTAACCTAATCTAACGTAACCTAATCTAATCTAACCTAATCTAACGTAACCTAATCTAACGTAACCTAATCTAACGTAACCTAATCTAACCTAATCTAACGTAACCTAATCTAATCTAATCTCATCTAATCTAACCTAATCTAACCTAATCTAACGTAACCTAATCTAACGTAACCTAATCTAACCTAATCTAATCTAATCTAATCTAACGTAACCTAATCTAATCTAATCTAATCTAACCTAATCTAACGTAACCTAATCTAACCTAATCTAATCTAATCTAATCTAACCTAATCTAACGTAACCTAAACTAATCTAATCTAATCTAATCTAACCTAATCTAACCTAATCTAACGTAACCTAATCTAACCTAATCTAACGTAACCTAATCTAACCTAATCTAATCTAATCTAATCTAACGTAACCTAATCTAATCTAATCTAATCTAACCTAATCTAACGTAACCTAATCTAACGTAACCTAATCTAACCTAATCTAATCTAATCTAATCTAACGTAACCTAATCTAATCTAACCTAATCTAACCTAATCTAACGTAACCTAATCTAACCTAATCTAATCTAATCTAATCTAACGTAACCTAATCTAATCTAACCTAATCTAACCTAATCTAACCTAATCTAACGTAACCTAATCTAACCTAATCTAATCTAATCTAATCTAACGTAACCTAAACTAACCTAACGTAACCTAACCTAACGTAACCTAACCTAACCTGTAAAATTAAGTCAACATTGGGTACACAAACAAGACTTAACTGATAAGAGAAGGTGAGGGTGAGGTGAGGAAGAGGAGGGAGGAGGAAGAGGAAGAAGAAGAGAGAGGAGAAGAGGAGGGAGGAGATGAGGAGGAAGAGGAAGAGAAGGAAGAAGGAGGTACAGAAGAGCACCTCCATTACACCTACCAACGTCGGTGTTGAAGATATAACCAAGCTTCTGAACGTGACCCGCGTGTTGGTGAGTGTTGGTGATGTTGGAGACTCTGTTGGTGGTGGTGGGGACTCTGTTGGTGGTGGTGGGGACTCTGTTGGTGGTGGTGGGGACTCTGTTGGTGGTGGTGGGGACTCTACTGGTGGTGGTGGGGACTCTACTGGTGGTGGTGGGGATTCTACTGCATGTACTGTCACTACTACTGCAGCTGGTATCACTGTTGGTAAAGAATGGATACAAACACAGACATTAGTTTAGGTGTAATTTTGTTGAGTTTCCCCTGTCAATTTTTTTATGAGGAATTAAAGAAAATGAAAATAATTAATTTGCGTGTTATCAACTTTTTAATTAAATATCAATTAAAGATTTACTAATACTATCATCATAAAGATTCTATACTGTACATATCTAGTTAAGATAGAGTCTCAGTGTAGCTTTGACGCCATTGTGTATTGTTTATTTATTTATATTTGAAATTACGAGGAAATATCAACATACGACCCAGGATAATGTTATGATTAAACCACGACACAGGTAAACACAGGTAAAAGTGTTAATTAAACATACCTGAGAATGTCGTTAATGTTGTTATTGCCGGAGTTACTGTTGATGCTTCTGTTAATGCCTGTTGAGGTGGTAGGCAGGTGTCTGACAGGTGTTCTGGGACTGTTATTGAGGCAGATACTTTGAGCAGGTATTGTGGTGGTTGTTGAGCAGGTGTTGTTAGTTGTGGTGACAGCAGTGGTGGTGTTATGATGAGTTGTAACGAGAAAAGATAATGACTTGTTGATGGATGGGTTATAGGTTGTTGTGGGGTTATATGAGGTAGAGTTGTGAAGACTAGACGGGTTGTGAGTATTATCTATAACACTGCTTCTCATATTTACGGGAGAATAACTCACATTATGAGGGTTGTTGTGAGTATTGTGAGAGGTGAGAGAAGGACTGGGAGCTATGAAGGTGTTATTACATATAATCTGACTACCAGTTGGGCTGTGTGGTACTCGGGGTGACAGGCTACCACAGTGGTGAGATAATGATGGTACTGTGGCGTGGGCCGTGTGGGTAGTATGGGTCAGATTGTGGGTAGTGGTGAAGAGTGAGGAGGGGGCAAGAACTGGACTACACGAACGAGGACTGTGGTTGTGTGTGGTAAGATTATCACCACAGTTGTTAATTTTGATGGTGGCACTGTTGGCACTGTTGGCACTCTTACTGGGGCTGTAGACAATATTGATGGCACTGTTATCAAGACTCTGGAGACTACAGGTGGCACTATTCCCCAGACTACCGTTAGCACTGTTACTGAAGCTGTTTATGGTACCAGGACTGTGGGTACTGTTATTGGCACTATTACCGGGAACGAGGGCATTACCAGTGGCACTATTACCGGGAACGAGGACATTACCAGTGGCACTATTACCGGGAGGAAGGGCACTACCGATGGCACTGTTACCGGGAATCAGGACATTACCAGTGGCACTATTACAGGGAACGAGGACATTACCAGTGGCACTATTACCGGGAGGAAGGGCACTACCGATGGCACTGTTACCGGGAATCAGGACGCTGGCATTGGCACTCTTGATAATGTTGAGGATATCTTGGGCTGTCACTGTGGCACTGAGGACGATAGTAGGGAGGCGAGGGGGAGGGGTGGGAGTGGGGGAAGGTGGAGTGGGAGTGGTGGGGGAGGTGGGGAAGTGTGTGGTTGGGGTATGAGTGGTGGGGAAGCGGCTGATTGGGGTAGGAGTGGTGGGGAAGTGGGATATTAGAGTAGGGGAGGTGGGGAAGTAGGTAGTTGGAGTATGAGTGGTGGGGAAGTGGGATATTAGGGTAGGGGAGGTGGGGAAGTAGGTAGTTGGAGTATGAGTGGTGGGGAAGCGGCTGATCGGGATAGGAGTGGTGGGGAAGCGGCTGGTTGGGGTGGGGAGAGGGGTAGTGGGGTTGTGTTTATGTGGAGTGTGTGGGGAGGGTGTTAAGGCCCCTGGGGTGATTACTGCTGGGGGTTGGGAGGAAGAAGGTCCTCCCCTGACCCCTGGCTGCTGCTCCCCTACCAGCCACCACGTCATCATCTGTCCCTTGCCCTGAGGAAAAGGTCAAAGTGGAGACATCAGTGACCTACTTTGACCTCGATACTAAAATATTACATTAATTATATTGTGGTTATTTTCTAACCTTAATAAAACAAATTACAATCAGTTATCATTATTATTATTATTATTATTGTTGTTGTTGTTGTTGTTGTTGTTGTTGTTGTTGTTGTTGTTGTTGTTGTTATTATTGTTATTATTACTGTTACTTTATTTTTAATATTTTTACTGTATTATTATTATTATTATTATTATTATTATTATCATTATTATTATTATTATTATTATTATTATTTTTATCATCATTATCATTATTCTTATCATTATTCCTACAAGTATGACCCTCGTACCTGGTCGTTCCCCTCACAGGTCACAGGTGTGGTGTTATAATGAATGTTAATGACCGTCATCACCACTAATGACATCATCCTCTTCCTTAATTCTCTTAATGTTGTGTAGTAATTACCCTTTACCCCCTGTCTCCTCTTTCTTCCTCCTTCTCTTATTCTTCTCTTCGTCTCTTTCTTCCTCCTCCTTCTCTTTTAGTCTTCTATTCCTCCTTCTTATCTCTCCCCCTCTCTTCTTCCATTCCCTCCCTCTCCCTCCCTCTCCTTCCCTCTCTATAAAGTCTTTACACCGGGAAGCACATTATCCCCCAGAGTTAATTACATGACAATAATTACCTCCTCATTACACAGTTAATCTTACTTATGTAAATATTAAGTGTAAATTTGTCTTGGTGTTTTGTATAATGTGTGTGTGTGTGAGAGAGAGAGAGAGAGAGAGAGAGAGAGAGAGAGAGAGAGAGCAATACAAACAACTACTGTATCCGGTGATTTTATATTCCTACACACTCACCCAATCTCCTCTCCCTCCCCAGTTACTCTCCTCTCTTCCTCTCCCTCATTCTCCCAAGCCCTTCCCCTCTCTCTCCCCCACTCACCTGACATCCTAATCCCTCTCTCCTGGGCGGCATAATCCTCTCACTAAACCTGGATTAACATAAATACATCGAAACCGAGTACTGTGATTCCCTCGTCTCTCCCTCACTCTCACATTTCTCCCCTCACATTATCCCTCACCCCCACACCTCACATTCTCTCCCTCACTCTCACATTCTCCCCCCCCCCATTCTCTCCCTCTCACATTCTCTCCTCACTCCCCACACTCTCACATTCTCCCCACCTCTCACATTCTCTCCCTCCCCCCCCCCCCTTCTCTCCCTCCTCCCTTCTCCCCTCCCCATTCTCCCCCACCACTCTCCCCTCCTCCCCCACACTCTCACATTCTCTCCCTCACTCATTCTCCCCCACACTCTCACATTCTCTCCCTCCCCTCACATTCTCCCCCCACTCTCATTCTCTCCCTCACTCTCACATTCTCTCCCTCACTCTCACATTCTCTCCCTCACTCCCCCTTTTGGACGATACATGTAGTCCCTCAGCTTATCCAGCATCAACATATTCACAATGGAACTAACTTTCCTCTCCCTCCTCTCCCACGCCCTTACACTCTCCCACTCTGCAGCATTCCCACAACTTTCCTATCTCCTAACCCCCACACTTCCCCACCCCCACACACTCCCACACACCCCACCCACCCCCCACACACTCCCACACCCCCCACCCCACACACTCCCACACACCCCCACCCCCACACACTCACCCCACTCACACACACACCCCATCACCCCACACACCCCACCTCACCTTACATAAGTAAGACCTCTCTCCTGTACAATATATCCACCTAGTTTATCCAACATCAGCTTATGGGCGTTAGAGGTGTGGATCCTCAGTTCTTCCCCGTCGACTCCATCCTTGAGGCGGTGTTTACAGTGTCACCAAATAGACAGTGCAGTGGCATCGTCAGTCCCACCACCTGCACACGGCCCTGTAGGGAGTGTGTGTGGTTTGTGTGGGGTGGGTGTGTGGGTGGGGTGTGTGGGTGGGGTGTGGTGTGGGGTGTGTGGTGTGGGGGGTGTGTGGGTAGGGGTGTGTGTTGGGGTGTGTGGGTGGGGTGTGTGGTGTGGGGGTGTGTGGGTGGGGTGTGTGTGGGTAGGGGTGTGTGGGTGGGGGTGTGTGGGTGGGGGTGTGTGGGTGGGGTGTGTGGGTGGGGGTGTGTGGGTGGGGGTGTGGGTAGGGGGTGTGTGGGGTAGGGGTGTGTGTGGGTGTGTGGGGTAGGGTGTGGGGTAGGGGTGTGGGGTAGGGTGTGGGTGGGGTGGGTAGGGGGTGGTAGGGAGGGTAGGAGGTGTGGATGGGTAGGGGTTGACACGAGTGGGAGGAGAGAGGAGGAGGAAAGGAGGAGGAGGAGACAAAAATTATTCCGAAACATAGGAAAATAACAATAAATTAGAACACACACACACACACACACACACACACACACACACACACACACACACACACACACACACACACACACACACACACACACACACACACAAAATCCATCAGAAAACCCATCAGAAACCTTCACTCGGTCACTCAGAATGTACTAGTGAACTGTGAAAAATCATCGTGTTTACATTTAATGACCTGATTTCAGTCAGCCAGTCAAGATATGCTCTCAGTACCTCTTCCAGCCACTCAGAATGCACCAGAATGAGTGACTGGTTCATGGAGGCACTCAGTAATTACTAGGTCACTTAAAGCGGACATAATGAGTTACTAAGTTGAATCATACACTGAGATGCACTTAGGTCCTCCTTCTCTCTCTCTCTCACTACCCCTTTAAGCTTCTTTCATTCACCTGCTTCTCACCCTCCTCCCTCCCTCCCTCCTCCCTCCTTCCTCCCTCCCTCCTTCCCTCCTCTACCCCCTCCCTCCCTCCCTACCACTCACTCTCACATTCTCATCCACACCTCCACACACCCTAACACACCCTGTAACATACTCTAGCTCACCTGAATATACAACCATCATACCCTCCCACCCACCCCCACACCCTCACACTCTTCCCACACCCCTTACACCCTCCCACACACCCCACACCCCTCACAGTCTTCCCCACCTACACCCTCCCACACACCCTAACACACCTTGTAACACACCCTAACTCACCTGAATGTATGCCAATCCTCAACCTGAGCGTATCACCTGGACGATGCCTGATGGTAAACTGCTTGACGGCGGACAGCAACTTGAGAGCCATTGACGCGATTCCCGCCGCATGCTGGTCTCCGTTACATATTGGGAGACCAGACACAACCATATATGCGTCTCCTATTGTCTCTACCTGTGGGGAGATAGGAGATATAGAGTGAAGGAGAGAGATAGAAATGGTTAACGAAGGAGAGATAGAAAGAGTAGTTAACGAAGTGTGAGAGGAAAATGATGATGATGATGATGATGATGATGAGAATGACAATAATAACGGTGAAGATAATGATGATGATGATGATGATGATGATGATGATGATGATGATGATGATGATGATGATAATGATGACGTATCTTACCTTGTATATGTCATAATCACCGATAATGGCGTCAAAACAGGTGTAGAGTTCGTTAAGCATGTTGACCATCTGTAAGTGAGAGAGAGTGTAGTAGTCTCTCTCTCATACGACAACTCTCTCACACCCATCTCCAAAGCATCCATCCACACACGCCCACACACGCCCACACACCCACCTGGAGGGGCGTAGATTCGGCCGACAGAGAGGTAAAGCCCACAATATCGCTGAAGTAAATGGTTACGTTGTCGTAGCTCTCAGGGCGACTTGTTCACCTCTCTTTAATGACTCAGCCACCGACCTGAGGGAGAGAGGGAGAGAGGGAGAGTTGAGGGTGAGAGGGAGAGTTGGAGGGTGAGTGAGGGGAGTGAGGGTGAGTGAGGGAGAGAGGGAGAGTTGAGGGTGAGTGAGGAGAGAGAGGAGAGAGGGAGAGGAGGGTGAGTGAGGGAGAGAGGGAGAGTTGAGGGTGAGGAGGGAGAGAGAGGGAGAGAGGGAGAGTTGAGGGTGAGGAGGGAGAAGGAGAGATAAAGGAGGAGGGAGAGTTGAGGGTGAGTAAGGGAGAGAGGGAGAGAGGGAGAGTTGAGGGTGAGTGAGGGAGAGAGAGAGAGGGAGAGTTGAGGGTGAGTGAGGGTGGAGGAGGGAGTAAGGGAGAAGGGAGAGATGAAGGAGGAGGGAGAGTTGAGGGTGAGTGAGAGGGTGAGAGGGAGATGAAGGAGGAGGGGAGTTAGGTGAAATGAGGGAAAGTTGAGGGAGATGAAGGAAAGATGAGGGAGGAGGGAGAGATGAGGAAAAATTGAGGGAGGAAGGAAGATGAGGGGAGTGAGGAGAATGAGGGAGAGGTAGAGGAGAAGAGGGTGAGGGGAATAAGTCTCACCAAGTGTATATAAATCATGAGAGATCAACAATATATTATCCAATAAATTAACACAATATAAAAATACCAGATTAATACTTAACAACTACAGTGACTCTATGTCCGTCCAACAACCAATCAGCTGCCTTGTTACAAACTGATCTTAGGCCTTAGTTACACACACACACACACACACACACACACACACACACACACACACACACACACACACACACACACATATGTATAATTTTAATCTACCTGTGCCCAACCTCTCCTTTCTCTCCCCCTACCCCTCCTCCCTCCCCCCCTCCCCCCCCCCTCCAGGACACCAGTAGGGACTCACTCTAGGTAACATCCCCAGTAGCAGCATTCTCCCTCCCCCCCCCCAGGAGACACCAGACTCCTCACTCAGGCACATCTCAGTAGCAGCATTCCTTCCCCCACAGGACACCAGTAGGACTCCCACTTAGGAAACATCCCTCAGCAGCAGTATTCTCCCTTCCCCCCAGGACACCAGTAGGACTCCTCACCCCAGGGTAACATCCTCAGCAGCAGCATTCTCCTCCCCCCCCAGGACACCAGTAGACCCTCACTTAGGCAACATCCCCAGCAGCAGTATTCTCCCTCCCCCCAGGACACCAGTGCAGGGACTCCTGATCCTAGTAACATCCCCAGTAGCAGTATCTCTCCCCCAGGACAATTGTACAGGGACTCCTCACTTAGGCAACATCCTCAGCAGCAGTATCTCTCCCTCCTCCAGGACACCAGTAGGACCTCACTTGTGCAACACCCTCAGCAGCAGCATTCCTCCCTCCCCCCTCCAGGACACCCAGCAGTGACTCTCACTTAGGCAACATCCCTGTGCAGCAGCATTCCCCTCCCCCACAGACACCAGTAGACCTCACCTCTAGGCAACATCCTCTGCAGCAGCATCTCCCTCCCCCCCCCCCCCAGGACACCAGCAGGACTCCCTCACTTAGGTAACATCCTGCAGCATCTCTCCTCCCCCCCCCTCCAGACACCAGTAGACTCCTCACCCCAGGCAACATCCTCAGTAGCATTCTCCCTCCCCCTCCAGGACACACCAGTAGGGACCTCCTCACTTAGGTAACATCCTCAGTAGTAGCATTCTCCTCCCCAGACACCAGCAGGACCTCACTCAGGTAACAACATCCTCAGTAGTAGCATTCTCCTCCCCCCCCCACAGGACACCACAGCAGGACTCCTCACCTAGGCAACATCCCCAGCAGCATCTCCTCCCCCCCCCCCCAGGACACCAGTAGGACTCCCTCACTTAGGCAACACCTCAGTAGTAGCATTCCTCCCCCCAGGACAACACCAGCAGGACTCTCACTGCAACATCCAGTAGTAGCATTCTCCTCCCCCAGGACACCAGTAGGACTCCTCACTTAGGCAACATCCTCAGTAGCAGTATCTCCCCCAGGACACCAGTAGGACTCTCACTCTTAGGTAACATCCTCAGTAGTAGTATCTCCCCCCCAGGACACCAGTAGTTGACCTCACTTAGGCAACATCCCTCAGTAGTAGTATCTCTCCTCTCCCCCCCCCCCTCCAGGACACCAGTAGGACTCCTCACCCAGGTAACATCCCTCAGTAGCAGCATCTCTCCTCCCCCAGGACACCAGCAGGACTCCTCACCCCAGGCAACATCCTCAGTAGTAGTATCTCTCCTCCCCCCAGGACACCAGGGACCTCACTTAGGTAACATCCCCAGCAGTAGCATCTCTCCCTCCCCAGACACCTCAGTAGGACTCACTCTAGGTACATCCCCAGTAGCAGCATTCTCCTCCCCCAGGACACCACCAGCAGGACTCCTCACTTAGGCACATCCCCAGTAGCAGCATTCTCCCTCCCTCCAGACACCACCAGTAGGACCTCACTTAGTAACACATCCTCAGTAGCAGCACTTCTCCTCCCCCCCTCCAGGACACCCTGTGACTCCTCACTTAAGGCCATCCTCAGTAGCAGTATCTCCCTCCCCCCCCCTCCAGACACCAGTAGACCTCACTGCAACATCCTCAGTAGCAGTATCTCCCTTCCAGGACACCAAAGTAGGACTCCCTCACTTAGGCATCCCTCAGCAGCAGCATTCTCCTCCCCCCCCCAGGACACCAGTAGGACTCCCTCACTTAGGCAACATCCTGCAGCAGCATCTCCTCCCCCAGGACACCAGTAGGACTCCCACCTAGGCAACATCCTCAGTAGCAGCATCTTCCTCCTCCCAGGACACCACAGTAGGACTCTCACTTAGGTAACATCCTCAGTAGCAGTATTCTCCCTCCCCCCCAGGACACCAGTAGGACTCCCTCACTTAGGCAACATCCTCAGTAGCAGCATTCTCCCTCCCCCTCCAGGACACCCAGCAGCACTCCTCACTTAGGCAACATCCTCACAGTAGCAGCATCTCCCCCCTCCCAGGACACCAGTAGGACTCCCCACCAGGTAACATCCCCAGCAGTACCTCCCTCCCTCCCAGGACAGTAGGACTCTCACTTAGGTAACATCCTCAGTAGCAGCATTCTCTCCTCCCAGGACACCAGTAGACCTCACTTAGGTAACATCCTCAGCAGCAGCATCTCTCCAGGACACCAGTAGGACTCTCACTTAGGCACATCCTCAGCAGCAGTATTCTCCTCCCCAGGACACCAGTAGACCTCACTTAGGTAACATCCTCAGTAACAGTATCTTCCCTCCCCCCCAGGACACCAGTAGGACTCTCAATAGGGTAACATCCTCAGTAGCAGTATTCCTCCTCCCAGACACCAGTAGGACTCCCTCACTAGGTAACATCTCAGTAGCAGCATTCTCCTCCCCCAGGACACCTGCATTCCTCACTTAGGCAACATCCCTCAGTAGCAGCATTCTCCCTCCCTCCAGGACACCAGCAGGGACCTCACTTAGGCAACATCCCCAGCAGCAGCATCTCATTCCTCCAGGACACCAGTAGACTCCCACTAGGTAACATCCCAGTAGCAGTATCTCCTCCCCCCCCAGGACACCAGTAGGACTCCTCACCTAGGTAACATCCTCAGTAGCAGTATTCTCCTCCCCCAGGACACCAGTAGGACTCACCTAGGACATCCCAGAGCGCTTCCCTCCCCAGACACAGGACTCCTCACTTAGGTAACATCCTCAGTAGCAGTATCTCCCCCCCAGACACCAGTAGACTCCTCACTAGGTAACATCCTCAGCGGATCTCCTCTCCAGGACAGTGGACCTCGCATCCGCGTCTCCTCCCCCTCCAGGACACCAGTAGGACTCCTCACTTGGTAACATCCCAGTAGCAGTATCTCCCTCCCCCCAGGACACCAGTAGGACTCTCACTTAGGTAACATCCTCAGTAGCAGTATCTCTCCCTCCCCCCCAGGACACCAGTAGACCTCACTTAGGTAACATCCTCAGTAGTATCTCCTCCCCCAGGACACCAGTGACCTCTAGGTAACATCCTCAGTAGCAGTATCTCTCCCTCCCCCTCCAGGACACCAAGTAGGGACTCCTCACTTAGGCAACATCCTCAGTAGCAGTATCTCTCCTCCCCCTCCAGGACACCAGTAGGATCCCTCACTTAGGTAACATCCTCAGTAGCAGCATTCTCCCTCCCCCAGGACGGACTCACCAGTAACATCCTCAGTAGCAGCATTCTCCCCTCCCCAGACACCAGTAGGACTCTCACTTAGGCAACATCCTCAGTAGTGCATCTCTCCTCCCCCCTCAGGACACCAGTAGGACTCTCACTTAGGTAACATCCTCAGTAGCAGATTCTCCCTCCCCCTCCAGGACACCAGTAGGACTCTCACTTAGGTAACATCCTCAGTAGCAGTATTCCTCCTCCCCCCAGGACACCAGCAGGGACTCTCACTTAGGTAACATCCTCAGTAGCAGTATTCTCTCCAGGACACCAGTGGACTCCCCCTCTCCTCCAGGACACTGGGACTTCACTTAGGTAACATCCTCAGTAGCAGCATTCTCCTCCCCCTCCAGGACACCAGTAGGACTCTCACTTGGGTAACATCCTCAGCAGCATCTCCTCCAGGACACCAGTGGACTCTCACTTGGTAACATCCTCAGTAGCAGTCTCTCCCCCCAGGACACCCCCCCCGTAGAGTATCTCTCTCCCCAGACACCAGTGGACTCCCCACTTAGGTAACATCCTCAGTAGCAGTATCTCTCCCCCCCCCCCAGGACACCAGTAGGACTCCTCACTTGGGTAACATCCTCAGTAGCAGTACTCTCCTCCCCCCCCAGGACACCAGTAGGGACTCCTCACTTAGGTAACATCCTCAGTAGCAGTATCTCTCCTCCCCCTCCCAGGACACGCAGGGACTCCTCACTTGGTAACATCCTCAGTAGCGTATCTCCCTCCCCCCAGGACACCAGTAGGACCTCACTTGGGTAACATCCTCAGTAGTAGTATTCTCCCTCCCCCCAGGACACCAGTAGGACTCCTCACTTAGGTAACATCCTCAGTAGCAGTATCTCTCCCTCCCCAGGACACCAGTAGACTCCCTCACTTAGGTAACATCCTCAGTACAGCATCTCTCCCTCCCAGGACACCAGTAGGACTCCTCACTTAGGTAACACTCCTCAGTAGCAGCATCTCCTCCCCCCCAGGACACCAGGTAGGACTCCTACTTAGGTAACATCCTCAGTAGCAGTATCTCCCCCCCCCAGACACCAGTGGGGACTCCTCCTTAGGTAACATCCCCAGTAGCAGTATTCTCCTCCCCCAGACACCAGTAGGACTCCACTTGTGTAACATCCTGCAGTAGCATCTCCCTCCCTCCAGGACACCAGTAGGACCTCACTTCAGGTAACATCCTCAGTAGCAGTATCTCCTCCCCTCCCAGGACACCAGTAGGGACTCTCACTTAGGTAACATCCTCAGTAGCAGTCTCTCCTCCCCCTCCCAGGACACCAGTAGGACTCCTCACTTAGGTAACATCCCCAGTAGTAGTATCTCCCTCCCCCCCTCCAGGACACCAGTAGGACTCCTCACTTAGGTAACATCCTCAGTAGCAGTATCTCTCCCCCCCAGGACACCAGTAGGACCTCACTCTAGGTAACATCCTCAGTAGCAGTATCTCCCTCCCCCCAGAGGACACCAGTAGGACTCCTCACTTAGGTAACATCCTCAGTAGCAGTATCTCTCTCCTCCAGGACACCAGTAGGACTCCTCACTTAGGTAACATCCTCAGTAGCAGTATTCTCCTCCCTCCCAGACACCAGTAGGACTCTCACTTAGGTAACATCCTCAGTAGCAGTATTCTCCTCCCCCAGGCACCAGTAGGACTCCTCACTTGGTAACATCCTCAGTAGCAGTATCTCCTCCCTGGCTCACCAGCAGGACTCCTCACTTAGGCAACATCCTCAGTAGCAGTATCTCCCTCCTCCAGGACAAGGTAGGACTCCTCACTTAGGTAACATCCTCAGTAGCAGTATCTCTCCTCCTCCAGGACACCAGTAGGACTCCCTCACTTAGGTAACATCCTCAGTAGCAGTATTTCTCCCTCCCGTCTCCCAGACACCAGTAGGACCTCCTGTAACATCCTCAGTAGCAGCATCTCTCCCCCAGACACCAGTAGACCCTCACTTAGGTAACATCCTCAGTAGCAGTCTCCTCCCCAGACACCAGTAGGACTCCTCACTAGGTAACATCCTCAGTAGCAGTATCTCCCTCCCCCTCCCCAGGACACCAGTAGGACTCTCACTTAGGCAACATCCTCAGTAGTTCTCTCCTCCTCCCAGGACACCAGTAGGACCTCCATCCCGTGGTCTCTCTCCCAGACACCAGTAGGACCTCACTTAGGTAACATCCTCAGTAGCAGTATCTCCTCCCTCCCAGGACACCAGTAGGACTCCTCACTTAGGTAACATCCTCAGTAGTAGTATCTCTGTCTTCTTCTTCTCCTCCATGAGTTGCTTGGTCCGCTCCTGCACCTTCCCCTCCAGGTTATAGGCGTACTTCTCCATCATAGCTAACATGTTGTCCACGATGTTCAGCTTCCTGGTGAACACACGAGAACAAGTGGTCAATAGTGGTGAACAGGTGGGTGAAGGGGTGGTGAATAGGGGTGGTGAACGGGGATGGTGAATAGGGGGGTGAACAGGTGGAACAGGGGTGAATAGGTAGAATAGGGGTGGTGAATAGGGGTGAATATGGGTGGTGAACAGGTGGTGAAAAGGTGTGAATAGGGTGAATAGGTGGTGAATAGGTGTGGGAACAGGGTGGTGAACAGGGATGGTGAATAGGGGTGGTGAACAGGGGTGGAACAGGGTGGTGAATAGGTGGTGAATAGGTGGTGAACAGGGGTGGTGAATAGGGTGGTGGGAATAGGGGTGGTGAACAGGGGTGAACAGGGATGGTGAATAGGGTGGTGAACAGGGGGTGGTGAATAGGGGTGGTGAATAGGGTGGGTGAAATAGGGTGGTGAATAGGGGTGGTGAATAGGTGTGGTGAACAGGTAGTGAACAGGGGTGGTGAATAGGGGTGGTGAATAGGGGTGGTGAATAGGGGTGGTGAATAGGTGTGGTGAACGGGTGTGGTGAACAGGGGTGGTGAATAGGGGTGGTGAATAGGTGTGGTGAACGGGTGTGGTGAACAGGGGTGGTGAATAGGTGGGGTGAACAGGTGTGAACAAGTGTAAATAATAGGGAACTATGGTGAACAAAATTACATATATAACACATATGAATATATTGTGATGAACATATCCCTCTCCTTCCCCCTCCCCTCTTCTCCTCCCTCTCTCTCCTCCCCTCTTCTTCTGTTCCCATTATATCCTCTTCTCTCACCTCCTCTCTTCCTTCTCCTCTCCTTCAAAATTCCCCCTCCCTCTCTTTCCTTCTAGCTCTCTCTCCTTCCCTCCCCTCCCTCTCTTTCCTTCGCTCTCCTTCCCTCCCCTCCTCTCTTTCCTTCGCTCTCTCTTCCTTCCCTCCCCTCCCTCTCCTTTCCTTCGCTCTCTCTCTCCTTCCCTCCCCACCCCCTCTCTCACCACTAGACAGGACCCCCAGGAGTGAGGGAGCAGGTCTTATATACGGTGTGTTTGGGTATATATTCTCTGCTGCCATTCTAACAACACCACGGCTTACACTCTCGCTGATATACTGTCCGGGTAAAACTACTTTCTATACTTTCTAATAAAAGCTCAAAATACTTTCTCTGCTTTCTAGATTATGTAAAATGACTTTCTCTTTTAAAATACTACTACTACTACTATCTACAACCACCACCACTACTACTACTACTACTACTACTACTACTACTACTACTACTACTACTACTCCAGCCTCCCCCAATAGCCACACCTTCGCCACCATTTTATTACCTTAATATTAAATATCCTAATACATAAGTAACTATCCTAGCTGTGTTGAGTTAGTTGAGCCGCAGATCTATGCGACATTCAGTGACTGTTGCCTCATAGTCAATATCTGCAACGGTTGTCGGCTTTGGGGCCGATGCTCTCGTTCCCCTGAGGCAGAGCAAAGTCGACATCTCATCCAGGCTGTAACATAACTTCTGGGCTGCTGCTTCTGTTCGGATATCACCTCCGTGAGTCTGGCGTAGAAGCATCTTGCACTTGGTCCCATCCCACCAGAGGTTGTGAACACTACAACTACTAGTACTACCTACAACCACTACCGTGGCCTCCAGCCTCCCCCAATAGCCACACCTTCGCCACCATTTATTTACCTTAATATTAAATATCCTAATACATAAGCAACTATCCTATCTGTGTTAAATTAGTTGAGCCGCAGATCGATGCGGCATTCGGTGACTGTAGCCTCATAGTCGATATCTGCAGCAGTTGACGGAGTAGGGGCAGAAGCTCTCGTTCCCCTGAGGCAGAGCAAAGCCGACCGAAGGAGAGAGAAGGACAGTCGACATCTCATCCAGGCTGTGACATAACTTCTGGGCTGCTGCTTCTGTTCGGAGATCAGCTCCGCGAGTCTGGCGTAGAAACATCTTGCGCTTGGGCCCATCCCACCAGAGGTTGTGAACACCAGCGGAGTGAAGCTGCCTTGATCGACACTTTGAATTCTCTCCCCATATGCCCTTCTCTTGTCGTTCTCGTTCCTCCTATGTGCAGCATCGAGAGCTAGGTTACGGTGACAAACGGCCATGGGATCAAAAATCCTGATGTCGAAGAAGGCTCGCTGTCCCTGCGTCCAGAATCCTCGAGCACTGACGTCCACACGGGCTTCGTTAGATGTGTTTGAAGTCCTGTGTTGGAGGATCTCGCCATCCAGTGGAAGGAGGGTCGGTTCTACCATGACGTCCCGGCAGGTTTCCTTCAACATATTTGCTGTGAGATCCCTTACCTCGTCATGCCTCATGCATATGAAGCCCCCCTTCTTGCAAACCATGGCGTGATCGCCATCATAGGAATAGCCACACACGCATTGGGAGGGCAAACCATCTACTGGCCAACCGTACCTTAGAGCAATGGCATCTGTAAATTCTTGTTTGTTGAGGCTGAAACCATTTGCCCTTATCGGTAACGTAGTTAACCAGTTCGAGGCGCCCACCTCCTGCGCTATAGCTACTTTTTTTGTCAGATTTTCTGGAACCTGCAGCAATAATTGCTGCAACATGTCATTTTGGCAGTGCTGCCGATCTGTTGTAATGGATCTACGGATCTTATTAACTTCGCTGGGGTGATACACCCCCACCCTTACCAACCACCACAACCCCCACTACCATCCCCGATAACCACCCCTACCACTACCACACCCACCCCTACCACTACCACAACCACCACCATACTTACAAGCCAGACTGCATTTCCTTCAGCCTGACTCGAACCAATTTAAAATCAGGTCTCTCGTCAGGGTCTTCCGTCCAGCACTCCCTCAGGCACCTCTGTACGTACTCTGGGGTCTTGAGCTCATCCAGGGGAGGTCTTAAGGGCGGGTCTTGTCCTGCAGCGACCTGGGTTATTATCTCTGTGGAGGCGACGAAGAAGGCAGGTTACAGTGTGTTAATGTTATGGGTTTGGGTTGGTTAGGTTAGGTTAGGTTAGGTTAGGTTAGGTTAGGTTAGGTTAGGCTAGGTTAGGTTAGGCTCCAAACACTCACCGTGGATAGAGATCTTATTCAGGAGGTCCCCCCAAGGTCCAGCTCGACCCACCACCTCGTACAGGATGACGGCGAAGGAGAAGACGTCCCCCTTCTGCGTCCCCCGCGGGTGTTCTCCAGTAGCTCTCAGTAGCTCCGGGGCCACCCACAGCTTCTTCCGCCCCTCTACCACCTGATCTGGCGAGGCTGAGAGAGAAGAGGAGGAGCAGGAGGGTTAGTGGGTGTGAGAGAAGAGGAGGAGGAGGAGGAAGAGGGAGGGTTAGTCTCTCTCTCTCTCTCTCTCTCTCTCTCTCTCTCTCTCTCTCTCTCTCTCTCTCATAAACACTCACACACATCTCACTCAGTTCACAACACACTCAGCTCACAACACAGTCAGCTCACAACACACTCAACACACTCAACACACTCAGCTCACAACACACTCAGCTCACCTTTAAACTCGTGAAGGCCGAAGTCTGCCACCTGAAGGATCCACCTGGAGTCAACGAGACAGTTACTAGAGCGGAGGTTCCCGTGGGAGACGATCTCGCTGTCGTGGAGGTAGACCATGCCCTGGTGAGACAAGGTCGTTAGAGGTCGTTGGAGGGGAGACAAGGTCGTTAGAGGTCGTTGGAGGGGAGACAACGTCGTTTACAGGTCGTTGGAGGGGAGAGAAGGTCGTTTACAGGTCGTTGGAGGGGAGACAAGGTCGTTAGAGGTCGTTGGAGGGGAGACAACGTCGTTTACAGGTCGTTGGAGGGGAGAGAAGGTCGTTTACAGGTCGTTGGAGGGGAGAAAAGGTCGTTAGAGATCACTGAAGGAGAGACCTCATCCTCCAACCCTCACCCTGTACCCTCACACTCCACCCTCAACCCTCACACTCCACCCTAATTTTCAACCTTCACACCTTACTCTCCAGCCCTCACACTCCACCCATCCACCCTCACCCTCATACCTATCCCTCCACCTCTCACCCTCCACCCTCACCCTCCAGCCCTCATCCTCAACCCTCACACCTCACACTCTACCTTCACACTCACCTTAATCAGATCGGCGACGAGGGAAGCCACGAACATATTATCAAGAAGGAGGTCATCATTGGAGAGGACATCTTCAAGTGATCCTCGAGCACAGTAAGCGGTCAGGATACAGATGTTTCCCGTGTCGACTGAGGAGCCAATGAAGGGCAGCAAGTTCTCGTGGCGGACATCGCGCATCTGGCAACACGAGGAGATGGTTAAGCATACGGTAGTTTGTTTACAATGATAAGGAGGTGAAAACAAGGACTGTGTTATTGTTTGATGGCCATATTTGTTTATATAGAGCGGTTAGTACAGCTTGTGTGGCCATTTTACTGTTTTATGGCCATATTTGTTTATATAGAGGGGTTAGTACAGCTTGTGTGGCCATTTTACTGTTTTATGGCCATATTTGTTTATAGATGGTTAAGCATATGGTGGCCATTTACTGTTTACAATTGATAAGGGGTTAAAACAAGTGTATTTTACTGTTTTATGGCCATATTTGTTTATATAGAGGTTAGTACAGCTTGTGTGGCCATTTTACTGTTTTATGGCCATATTTGTTTATATAGAGGGGTTAGTACAGCTTGTGTGGCCATTTTACTGTTTTATGGCCATATTTGTTTATATAGAGGGGTTAGTACAGCTTGTGTGGCCATTTTACTGTTTTATACATTGCTTATATAGAGGGGTTAGTACAGCTTGTGTGGCCATTTTACTGTTTTATGGCCATATTTGTTTATATAGAGGGGTTAGTACGGCTTGTGGCCATTTTACTGTTTTATGGCCATATTTGTTTATATAGAGGGTTAGTAACTTGGCCATTTTACTGTTTTATGGCCATATTTGTTTATGTTTTATGAGCCATATTTGTTTATATAGAGGGGTTAGTACAGCTTGTGTGGCCATTTTACTGTTTTATGGCCATATTTGTTTATATAGAGGGGTTAGTACAGCTTGTGTGGCCATTTTACTGTTTTATGGCCATATTTGTTTATATAGAGGGGTTAGTACAGCTTGTGTGGCCATTTTACTGTTTTATGGCCATATTTGTTTATATAGAGGGGTTAGTACAGCTTGTGTGGCCATTTTACTGTTTTATGGCCACATTTGTTTATATAGAGGGGTTAGTACAGCTTGTGTGGCCATTTTACTGTTTTATGGCCATATTTGTTTATATAGAGGGGTTAGTACAGCTTGTGTGGCCATTTTACTGTTTTATGGCCATATTTGTTTATATAGAGGGGTTAGTACAGCTTGTGTGGCCATTTTACTGTTTTATGGCCATATTTGTTTATATAGAGGGGTTAGTACAGCTTGTGTGGCCATTTTACTGTTTTATGGCCATATTTGTTTATATAGAGGGATTAGTACAGCTTGTGTGGCCATTTTACTGTTTTATGGCCATATTTGTTTATATAGAGGGGTTAGTACAGCTTGTGTGGCCATTTTACTGTTTTATGGCCACATTTGCTTATATAGAGGGGTTAGTACAGCTTGTGTGGCCATTTTACTGTTTTATGGCCACACACACACACACACACACACACACATGCACACACACAGACACACACATGGATTACAGACTTCCTCAGTGACCGACGCCAAGCTGTACGCTTCCGAGGGGCTGTCTCCACCTTTCAGTCACTCACCTGTGGCGTCCCCCAAGGCACCAAGATGGGACCACTCTGCTTCCTTATGCTCATCAATGATGCCCTAAGAGAAACCCTGCTCGCTGGAAATATGTCGACGACTCCACCATTGGGATCAGCGTCAACAATTCTGCTCCCAACTATACCGCCCTTCAGGATTTATTGAACAGTCTCCAAAACTGGGCCACCAACAACCATGTCACCATCAACCATACCAAGACCATGGTTATGCACATCAACCTCTCCTCCGACATTGTCCCACCTCCTTCCATTACTCTGGGTCCGAACACACTCCAGGTTGTAGATTCCACGAAGCTCCTCGGCGTCACCATAGACAACAAACTAAATTGGAAACCACACGTCAGTGAAGTTATCAAATCCTCCAGTTTCCGTCTCCACCTCCTCCGCCGACTCAAGTCCCTCGGAGTTCCTGCACACGAGGTCCTCAGTGTTTACACAACATTCGTACTTCCCAAGCTCACCTATGCCTCCCACACCTGGTCTTCCTCCCTAAATGCCACACAACGTAAACACCTAGAAAGAGTGCAAAAGAGGGCATGCAAGATTATTCTCTCCCCTTCCTACTCCACATATCAAGAAGCGCTCAACACACTGACCCTTTCGACTCTCACTGACCATCACCACGACCTCATCTGCAAATTTGGTAAGAAGCTTCTACACCATCCCCGACACCGGCTCCTACTACCACCTGAGATCCCTTGTCCGAGAATTGCTGTTCGACACCACAACCGCATCCAGCCCATACGTGCACGAACTGATCGCTATAAGAACAGCCCAGTCCCAACCATTGTAAAAATTATCAATAACTTGTAATAAATCAGTGTACTCACTCCCAGTAACCACTGCTCCTTACACTGTCACTATGTTGAAATGAACTGTAGTTTGAGCCTTTCCCCATCTAGTTATTATATGTCTTATTTGTATCACTTATGTTACTTGTATATTATTTGTAATTCGTAACCCATTCTCCAAATATGTAACTGTAGATTTTCAGCCTTCTGGCTGCCAAGCTCTTTCAATAAACCGTTAATTATTATTATTATTATTATTATTACACACACACGCCACACACACACACACACACACACACACATACACACACACACACACACACACACACACACACACACCACACACTCTTACCTCCCCCAGAGACATCTCCTAATCTCTTATTAATGATCTTGTCTCTCAGTCTCCAATAATATCTTCTGAAATGATGTGTATATCTGTCCTGCATCTGTCTGTTTTTCAATTTCTCTGCTTTTGTTTCTTTGTCTGTGTCTATCTATCTATCTGTATCAGCTTCTCATTGTGTTCCTATCTCTCTCTCTCTCTCTCTCTCTCTCTCTCTCTCTCTCTCTCTCTCTCTCTCTCTCTCTCTCTCTCTGTTCACTATCTCACGCACATATACACAAGTAACATCACCAAGTATCACCTCTCTCTCTCTCTCTCTCTCTCTCTCTCTCTCTCTCTCTCTCTCTTATCACACGTTAATGCCACAGACACCTCAGGGAGTTTGCTAATTAGTAAACAGAGTCCCTGAAAGTTTGCCAGTTAGTAAACAACACAAGACGATTTATCACAACTTGTCAGAGATGGAAGTTAATTTGTCTTTGTGTTGATTAGCCAATGGGCTGGGTGTCTCTCCTCTCTCTCTCTCTCTCTCTCTCTCTCTCTCTCTCTCTCTCTCTCTCTCTCTCTTTCTCTCTCTCTTTCTCTCTCTCTCTCTCTCTCTCTCTCTCTCTCTCTCTCTCTCTCTCTCTCTCTCTCTCTCTCTCTCTCTCTCTCTCTCTCTCTCTCTCTCTCTCTCTCTCTCTCTCTCTCTCTCTCTCTCTCTCAAAGGTAGCAGGTTCTCTCCCTCCTCTCAATAACAAAGATGTGGAAAATACCGTTCGATACCCGTCATAACCAGCCTTCCATCCCTCCTTCCTTCTTCCTCCTTCCTTCTTCCCTCTCCCTCCTCCCACCCACCATCCCTATATCCTTACTTACCTTACTCCTTCCCTCTCTCCCTCTCCCTTCTTTCCCTCCCTCCCTCCCTCCCTCTCCCTTCCCTCGCCACCACCACCTTGTTTATGAAGAAGAACAGACGGTGGGATATGTTGAATCCCCAGGCTTACTGAGAGAGAGAGAGAGAAAGAAAAAAGGCTATACAAATATAGAAAAAAATACAGACAAACACACACACACACACACACACACACACACACACACACACACACACACACACACACACACACACACACCAAGAGCTCCTGTCACTAGTTCATAATCTTCTTAAAAAAAATATGACGTTAGATCCAGGCTCGTCTCTTACTTAACAATCCTATTATAGTAAGAAGCTTAAACTGAAGTCTTCTTGAAGCTGAGGTATACAGCTTTTTTATTGGGGGGGAGAGGGGGAGGTTGAGGGGGAGGGTGAGAGGTGAGGATTTTTTTTCTTTGTTTAGTATGGGTGGATATGACACACACACACACACACACACACACACACACACACACACACACACACACACACTTGCCCTGAATCACACCTCGGATCAAAAGACTTATGCAACAGAGAGACAGAGCCTTTCATCTCAATGACCACATCCGCTTACAGGTCCCTTCACCAACCAGGTCATCACCAAAATACGCACTGCAAAGAAGTCCCTGCAACAAATTACACACAGCACCTGAAGCAGACCAACATCAGTCAATGGTATGGTAAGCTGCAAAACTCTTAATGGACCTAAACAATAAGACACACCCCCCTCCTTCGCCAATGCATCTCGCACTGGTGTTGTTTTAGGTTGAGCAAAACAAATAACCATTTCGTAACTATATGCCAGACGCTCCCCCGGCTTGACACAACCACTCTCCCTGCTTACCTACCAGCCCCCCTTCCCACTGACTTAGTAGAAGAAATTGAAGTAGCAAAACGCCTGGACAAACTAAAATTAAAACGCTCTACCACCCCCATTGACTTACCAATGAAACTCTTCAAGGAGTTCTCCCCGGAGCTTGCTAAACCCCTATGCTCTATCATCAATGCTTCTCTCAGTCAAGCCAGATGCCCAGCTGACTGGAAGACCTCTTATGTATCACCAGTGCCCAAGTCAACCAGCCCACAATCCTTAAATCAGCTACGACCTATTGCAATCACCCCAATACCCAGCCTAATCTGTGAAAGTTTTGTGTTCGACTGGGCTTATGCTGATATTGCAGGAGTCGTAGACCCTCAGCAATTTGGCAATATAAAAACTTCCTCCACCACTCACTGTCTTGTCAGCTTTCTCGATTAAATATACTGCCATCTCAAGAAACGAAAAACGTCTGTAGCTGTCGCCTTCATTTATTTCACTAAAGCATTCGACCTAGTCGACCACAATATAATCATCAACAAAGCTATTGACCTCGGGCTGCGAAGAAGTCTTATACCATGGCTTACAGACTTCCTCAGTGACCGACGCCAAGCTGTACGCTTACGAGGGGCTGTCTCCACTTTTCAGTCACTCACCTGTGGCGTTCCCCAAGGCACCAAGATGGGACCACTCTGCTTCCTTATGCTTATCAATGATGCCCTAAGAGAAACCCCTGCTCGCTGGAAATATGTCGACGACTCCACCATTGGGATCAGCGTCAACAATTCTGCTCCCAACTATACCGCCCTTCAGGATTTATTAAACAGTCTCCAAAACTGGGCCACCAACAACCACGTCACCATCAACCATACCAAGACCATGGTTATGCACATCAACCTCTCCTCGGACATTGTCCCACCTCCTTCCATTACTTTAGGTCCGAACACACTCCAGGTTGTAGATTCCACGAAGCTCCTCGGCGTCACCATAGACAACAAACTAAATTGGAAACCACACGTCAGTGAAGTTGTCAAATCCTCCAGTTCCGTCTCCACCTCCTCCGCCAACTCAAGTCCCTCGGCGTTCCTGCACCAGAGCTCCTCAGTGTTTACTCAACATTCATACTTCCCAAGCTCACCTATGCCTCCCCTACCTGGTCTTCCTCCCTAAATGCCACACAACGTAAACACATAGAAAAAGTGCAAAAGAGGGCATGCAAGATTATTCTCTCCCCTTCCTACTCCACATATCAAGAAGCGCTCAACACACTGACCGTTTCGACTCTCACTGACCATCACCACGACCTCATCTGCAAATTTGGTAAGAAGCTTCTACACCATCCTCGACACCGGCTCCTACTACCACCTGAGATCCCTAGCCCGAGAATTGCTGTTCGGCACCACAACCGCATCCAGCCCATACGTGCATGAACTGATCGCTATAAGAACAGCCCAGTCCCAACCATTGTAAAAATTATCAATAACTTGTAATAAACCATTGTATTCACTCCCAGTAAATATTACTTCTTGCACTGTCGCTATGTTGAAATGCCCTGTAGTTTGGGCTTTTCCCCATCTAGTTATTATATATCTTATTTATATCACTTTTGTTATTTGTATATTATTTGTAATTCGAAACCCATTCCCCAATTATGTAACTGTATATTTTCAGCCTTCTGGCTGCCAAGCTCTTTCAATAAACCGTTAATTATTATTATTATTACACACACACACACTGATGCAGTCTGCCAAACTCCTGGGTGTAACTATAAACCACAAACTGGAGTGGGAGGCCCATGTAAACAACACTATCAAGGCAGCTTCATACCACCGTTTCTAGATGCTACGACGACTCAGGTCACCTGGAACACCCACGCCAGAGCTGAGGACTATCTACAAAGCATTTATTCTCCCCAAACTAACGTATGCGTCACCAGCCTGGTCGTCTTCTCTCAACTCCACCCAACAACGTCAGCTAGAGAAGGTACAAAAAAGGGCCTGCAGAATCATGCTCGGTGCAGAATACTCCGGCTACACCAACGCTCTCTCCACCCTGGAAATGCCATCCCTCAGTGACCTCCACCACCAAGCACTGGAAAGGTTTGGCAGCCAACTAATGCACCACCCTCGTCATCGCCACCTCCTGCCACAGGCAGCCCCCCACCCACCTAGTCCGCCACTACAACAAAATTCAGCCCATAAGAGCCCGGACCCATAGATATAAGAACAGCACCATCCCATCTATTGTTAAAATAATAAACAACTCCTGATTTATGTACTGTACAGCCCTGTATATGTATTCAGCGCATATTATGTCATTATGTCTAAATCAAACGTAAGTCTGTATATTTTCAGCCACCGGCTGCAACTCTATTAATAAACCGTTTATTATTATTTATTATTATTATTATTACACACACACACACACACACACACATACACACACACACACACACACACACACACACACACACACACACACACACACACACACACACACACACACACACACACATATCCTCCATCCTGCTTGTACAAGTGTAGAAAGTGACAGTAAAATGTAATGACAATTACAATTATCCACACAATCAATAATAATAATAATAATAATAATAATAATAATAATAACAGACACAATCAATCAACTTACAATATTAACAAGTTCTTTTAATATTAATGAACAATTACTGTGCTCTCTCACTGTTGTAATATTTATTGTGTTGACTTTCATAAATGAACTAATTTGAAAAGACAGATAAAACAGTATTAAGTAAATGTGCGCGGGAGAAATGTGAAATGTTTGGGAGTTTATACTTAAAAAACATTCACCGGCAACTGTTTGTTTACGGTTTTGCCAAAGGCCTCCATGTGGTGAATTATATAATAGCTGGACCGTCTTTTGTTTTAACCCTCACTCAGACAACAATTAGAGAATAAAAGTTATAAAGTAACAATTACCATTTTACGAAATATTATGGAACGATCATAAACATGAATTCAAAAGACTCACTGGCAACTGTTTGGTTAAATAGTTGCCAGACGCCGCTAGTGACGGAGTTGCCTCACTGGTGTAAATATTTGGTCTAGAATTTCACACAGAAACGAATTTCAAAGAGATTAAAAAATAACCAAATCAACAAACGAAAATTTTGGAACGTTCAGCAACAATTCAGATATTAAATTATATGTTAATGGGTAACTGTGTCTGTACATTATGCCAGATTTCGCCAGTAACGTTAACTACAACCTGTAATATTTACTAACTTATATTCCCACACGAGAACTTGGAAACCAAAAGAGAGAAAAATAGGAATGAAGAAACGAAAACTTATGAAATGGTCGTATGTTTACATCTTAAATAACCATCGGCAACGGTTTGTTTACATCATTGCCAGGTGTCGCCAGTGTGAGAATTACTGACCATTAAACTTGCCAGGCAGTTGAAGCGAAGTTCCTACGGTAAATATTTCCTCCTAACTCAAGATTATAAGATCGTACCTAACTGTTTAACTTAGGATAAAACACAAAATTAACGTTGAGATTCTTAGTTTAATTTATCTACTCTAATTTTGTCTCCTAACTGGTGTGTTAAGTGAAGGTATCTAGTTAAGGTAGAGTCTCAGTGTTAATTTTTTATTCCGTAAGTTACCACACCAATAAAAAAAAATATCAAATGGCGTCAAACATCCCCTGAGACTCTACCATCACGACCAGCTGAAGGGAAAGATTCTGTCAGAAGAATCTTTGAGACTCAGAGTGCCAGAGTGCTTGAGTGCCTGGGTGCTTGAGTGCCAGAGTGCCGGAAGCCACCTCACCATCACACTTGAACACGACTCGACGCTGTGATGGTAAACAAGACATGACCAATACAGTGATGCTTTTATATAACGGACACCGATACAGTCCGCTATATAGAGGTTTATATATAACAGACACCGATACAGTCCATTATATAGAGGTTTTCATATAACGGACTCTATATAGTTCGTTAGATCAAAGTTTCACGTATAAAGAAGATCAATAATACGTAACTGAAGATCATTAACCTGGAACAGATCATTAACCAGGAACAGTTCATTAACCGGATAAAGATCATTAACCAGGAACAGATCATTAACCAGGAACAGTTCATTAACCGGATAAAGATCATTAACCAGGAACAGATCATTAACCAGGAACAGATCATTAACCAGGAACAGATCATTAACCAGGAACAGATCATTAACCAGGAACATATCATTAACCAGGTAAAGCTCATTAAAGTAGTCACCTGTTTAAGCTCCTTCCTAATACTCCGGGTCAGGTCAACCGATCGTTTCTTGATGGGTTTAATAGCGACGATGTTGCCCTTGTAGAGACCAATCCTGCAGTAGGCCATCCTGGGGGTCTCCGAGGTCCCCTCCCCGCTACCCCCAGCAAAGAGGCTCTGACGGTACACCTGTATCTGTAGGAATGGACAGGTGAGGACAGTGTCAGCTGATGTGTGTGTGGGGGGGGGGGGGGTTGATAGTCAGCTGGTGTCATGTAAACAAACAACAGCTGATTGGGGTGGTGTGTCATCTGGTGTCATGTAAACAAACAACAGCTGATTGGGGTGGTGTGTCATCTGGTGTCATGTAAACAAACAACAGCTGATTGGGGTGGTGTGTCATCTGGTGTCATGTAAACAAACAACAGCTGATTTGGGTGACCTTCCATGACCTCATCCATATTATTATTGACCTGACCTAAACATGACCTTATAGTACCGATTCTCTGACCTTAAGATGACCCCTGGCCTGAAGTGACCCATAATGACCTCAACCATATTATTGACTTGATCTAAACACGAACTTATACCCTGTACTACTGCTTTTCTGACCTTAAGATGACCTATACCCTAATCCCCTGGCCTGAAGTGACCTGAAATGACCTGAAGTTACTCACCGTGTTGTTATTGCCGTGGTCAAGGCTGCGTAGTTCCGTCTTAATGACCTTGACCTCTCTCATGTCAATCTTCCACAGCAGACAAGCTAATTTATGCTCATACCTGTAGTGCCTGATAGAGAACAACTGTATTAACCACACCTTCATTAACCACATCTGTTAACCACACCACAAATAACACAATTAACAATCTCTTATGATGGTTAACTAACAACTATAACAGATTAATCACCAATAACTAAAAACAAAACACAACAATAACACCTTAATAACCACAAATAAAAGGAAATACAATGTCAACAACAACCACAACCACAGCTTCCCGGAAATAACTAAAGAATATGTAAATTGATTCTCAGGTCGTGTGGTGGGTGAGGCGGCCAGCTGAGATCACCATAGATACATCACACACAAGAGCCCACTGATGGTTGATGATGAGTCTTAACCTAACCTAACCTAACCTAACTTAAACCTTACTTAACTTAGCCAAACCTAACCTAACTTAACCTAACCTAAGCCTTACTTAACTTACAGAAACCTTACTTAACTTAGCCAAACCTAACCTAACTTAACCTAACCTAAACCTTACTTAACTTACAGAAACCTTACTTAACTTAGCCAAACTTAACCTAACTTAACCTAACCTAAACCTTACTTAACTTACAGAAACCTTACTTAACTTAGCCTAACATAACCTAACTTTAACATAACTTAGCCTGATCCCTTAGCCTAACTTACACATACACCTCCACATACATACATGCATACATACATACATACACCCACACATACACCTTCCAGTTAATTAATTCAGGTAACACATTTGTCGTATTTTTCACAACAGAGTCATCAACAGGTCAGAAATACGAGCACCCAATTCACAAACTCATTATTCAAACGTCGCCAAATTACCCAATACTGCCGTCAGAAGGGGGTGATTTACTCGCCAAATTAACTAAACTGCTGACTAAATTACTCTCTCCAACTGATCGCCAAAATCCTCGCCAAAATAATCAGAAAATTACTCGCACCATATCGCCAAAATATTCGCCAAAATAATCAGAAAATCACTCACTTCAGATCGCCAAAATAATCAGAAAATCACTCTCCATCACATCGCCAAAATAAATCACCCCATCTTCCTTTACTGATCGCCAAACTCGCCAATTCGTTGATCACATTAGCGGCCGGATTTTTAGTGTGATTTACATACGGTGTTATCTCAGTATTTCTTAACTAAACGATAGATAATTTATGAATGAAAACCTTATCATATATTGTGTTATAATGAGGGTGTGGAGAGGGTGTAGTGGTGAGGGAGTGAGTGGTGCGTCTGTGTGTGTATGTGGGTGAGAGGAGGAGGGGGGGTGTGTGTGTTTGGGTAGGCTGGTGTGTACATCTATCTCTATCTCTCTCTCTCTCTCTTACCCCTCCCCCTTCCCCCTTCCCTTTCTCCCCCTCTCTTCCTTACCTCATCCTTTTCATCCTAGCCCCTCCCCTCATCCTTCAATCCTACGGGAATACTTATAAATAGGCCATCTCTCTCTGTCTGTCTGTCTGTCTGTCTGTCTGTCTCTGTCTCTCTCTATCTATCTATCTGTCTATCTATCTATCTATCTATCTATCTATCTATTTATCTATCTATCCACTCATAAAAGCTCTTAACACGACTCGTTATTTCACCAGTTAGTGGATCACGTGTTTCACAAATATCACTTTTATACAAACTAAAAGCTGATTGATTTTTGATGGGAATGACGTCATCATCGATTCCGACTCAAACAAATCCATAAATCATTAAATATGATTGGCCCTCGTTGGGAATGACGTCATAATCAATAAAACCAATAAAACATATTGTCTCTTATATACGTATGGCTTCCTCACGCTGATTTATTAGTCAAGAGCTGGAATGACAATGATGACAGCATCGATCGTCTACCAATGTATTGTCTCTTCTCTTGGTATATCTTAGTACTGATTGGTCCAGCTGATACTACCACTAGCCAATGGAAACTCGTGGAGGCTTTAGTTCCCCAGATGACCGCCAGGTGTGGGCCGCTCGTCCAATCATGTAGATTTATGGGGGAACCTTGTGTATATATATTATGGTATAGTGAGCAGCCTGGCGCGGCGAGGAGATATTTTATTAAGATGAGAGAGAGAGAGAGGACCTACCTGACGGAGGACCTACCTGACGGAGGACCTACCTGACAGAGAGGACCTACCTGACGGAGGACCTACCTGACGGAGGACCTACCTGACGGAGGACCTACCTGACAGAGAGGACCTACCTGACGGACCTACCTACAGAAGGACCTACTGACAGAGGACCTACCTGACAGAGACCCTACAGGACCTGAGAACCTACCTGACGGAAGGCCTACCTGACAGAGGACCTACCTGACTGAGAGGACACCTGACAGAAGAGGACCTGCTGACGGAAGGCCTACCTGACAGAGAGAGGACCTACCTGACGGAGGACCTACTTGACGGAGGACCTGTGGAAGGACCTACCTGACTGAGAAGAGAGACCCCGGAGAGTACCTGACGGAGGACCTACCTGACGGAGGACCTACCTGACAGAGAGGACCTACCTGACGGAGGACCTACTTGACAGAGGACCTACTTGACGGAGGACCTACCTGACGGAGAGGACCTACCTGACAGAGAGGACCTACCTGAAGAGGAAGAGAGCAGCCACCACGAACACCATGGACACCACCACACCGACAGCCACAGACCTCCAGTCGGGGTCACACTTCTCTGAGGCGAATCCACAAGTGGGGGCATCTCTGGGCGGCGACCCCCCCAGCCAGTTGATGGTCCCCGTCAAGTTCAGCGTCTGGAGGAGGAGGTGGTGGTTGAGTGTGTGTGTGTGTGTGTGTGTGTGTGTGTGTGTGTGTGTGTGAAAGAGGAGGGTGAGTGAGTGAGTGTGTGTGAGTGTATGAAGGAGGTGTATCCATGTATGTATGTATGTTTGGTTATATATTAGCAAACATACACATGAAACAAACACATACATATAATACCTGACTTCACAGAACAACTAACAAGAAAATCACAACTCACAAACCCCCACACACAAGAAAAACAAACAAACACACGACTTCAAAACACACAACTCCCACACACAAGAACAAAAAACAAACACACAACCTTCCACAACTCACACAAGTAATATAAATACTTTTCCGTCACTAAATAATACTAATAATTCAGCCACAAGCGGCAATAATGTCTGGCGGTACACAATATATTACCCCAGCCGCGTGAACAAGTAATTTGAGTGTTAGTATTTCCTCTGTGTGTGTGTGTGTGTGTGTGTGTGTGTGTGTGTGTGAGTGTGTGTGTGTGTTTGTGTGTGTGTGTGTGTATGTGTGTGTGTGAGTGTGTGTGTGTGTGTGTGTAAGATTGATTTTCCTCTTTAGGTTATTTGAGAAGGGAAAAGTTTATTCACTGAGGAGTATTGTCCACTGAGGAATATTATCCATTAATAAATATTATACTCCCCTTTAAAACATACAAAAACACCCAAAGGAAACAATTAATCCCTATAAAAAAAAACACATAAATTAGAGAAAACCATCATCAAAAGAGGGGTAACTATAGCAAACGAAAACACCCTTATAATCTGTCGCATACCGGGAGGTTATCCATGTCATGTGTGCCGCTCGTCGTCTCGTGGAAGTTAAACTGACCCATCTGGTGCCAGCCCATAGGAGTAATGTGTTCTGAGTTTAGTTTACGTATAGCCAATAGGGAATACGCCCCCTCTGCATCTCCGTTCTCATCCATATGGACCTGGTAACAATGACAGAGGTTAGGTTAGGTTAGGTTTGGTTAGGTTAGGTTATGAGAAACAGAGATATAGACAATTTCTATACAACTATTACACGTATTATTAAACAGATTATTAATACATTATACATTGATACATCTATGCATAGGTAATATTCTATACATATTATTTATACACTATACATGAGCTGTTTCTTCCACTTCCTCCCACCCCTTACCTTCCCCTACTCTTTCCTTTCTCCCCACCCCCTCCTACCTTCTCCGTTTTCCTTCCCCTTCTCCTCCTCCTCGTCATTCTCCCCTTCTTCCCTCCTTCCTCCACCCCCCTCTTCTACCTTCTCACCCCCCTCCTCTACCTTCTCACCTCCTCTCACCTTCTACCCCCCCCTCCTCTGCCTTCTCCCCCCTCCCCTCCTCTACCTTCTCCCCCCCCCTCCCTCCTCACCCCCCCCCCCACCATCCAATATCTCACCTTAAAAACCGTCACAGGAGTTAGAACAGTCATCAACACTTCACAGGGACTAATTTTCGCAGCTCATACAACTTAACTTTACTCACGTCGCTAAAATAAAAATAACAATTTTCTTCCCCTTCAACAAGTTAGCGAATTTATCATTTAATTACTATAACTAGTGTGTTTTAATTATCTCTCTATCTCTCTTTATCTCTCTCTCTCTCTCTCTTTCACTCTCACTCACTATCTCTCTCTCTCTCTCTCTCTCTCTCTCTCCCTATCTTTATATCTCTTTCTCTTTGTCTATAATTATCTCTGGATCTATCTATCTATTTATCTATCTATCTATCTATCTATCTATCTATCTATCTATCTATCTATCTACCTCACCTTGAAGCCCTGGATGGAAGGGAAGGATCTGTTTTTGATAAGAGAAATGATGTGAGTCCCATTAGCGGGGTCAGCGTTGGGGTCAGCTAGTGTCTCATTGAGCACCTGAGCATACATCATTACCGCGTCGTACAGCGCGATCGTGACAGGTGTTTGAGGCAGGTGTGACAGGTAAACGTTGTTTTCACCCCAACAATTCACACAGGTAAAGTACTCAGGTAAGACGCACATGTACTCAAGGTACTCAAAATGTACTCACCGTGATATACTTAAAGATCTGTGGGTTGTAGGGTACACAGAAGGGGTGTTTCTTGATCCTGTTCAACACCTTCTGTTCAAACTCCCTGACGAATGAAAACAGAGAAAGAATTGGTGAAACCTTATAAGGTATTTTTATTATGAGTTTATGAACGTAATTAATGGGTTAAATTATGGTAGGAGAGTCCGGGGATAATGGTAGGAGAGGCCGGGGATAATGGTAGGAGAGGTCAGGGGATAATGGTTGGAGAGGCCGGGGATAATGGTAGGAGAGGCCGGGGATAATGGTAGGAGAGGCCGGGGATAATGGTAGGAGGCCGGGGATAATGGTAGGAGAGGTCAGGGGATAATGGTTGGGCCGGGGATAATGGTAGGAGGCCGGGGATAATGGTAGGAGGCCGGGGATAATGGTAGGAGGCCAGGGGATAATGGTAGAGGCCGGGGATAATGGTTGGAGAGGCGGGGATAATGGTGGTTGGAGAGGGCCAGGGGATAATGGTTAGGAGGCCGGGGATAATGGTAGGAGGCGATAATGGGGGTAATGGTAGGAGGCCGGTGATAATGGTAGGAGGCCGGGATAATGGGGGGTAATGGTAGGAGGCCAGTGATAATGGTAGAGGCCGTATTAATGAGTAATGGTAGTAATGGTAGGAGGCCAAGGGATAATGGTAGGAGAGGCCATTAATGGGTAAAGTAATGGTAGGAAAATGGTGGGGAGGCCAGGGGATAATGGTAGGGAGACATTAATGGGTAAAAGTAATGGTAGGAGGCCGAGGGTAGAGGCCGGGATAATGGTAGGAGAGGCCGGGGATAATGGTAGGAGAGTCCGGGGATAATGGTAGAGATATTAATGGGTAAAAGTAATGGTAGGAGAGGCCGGGGATAATGGTAGGAGAGGCCGGGGATAATGGTAGGAGAGGCCAGGAGAAGACAGAGACAAGGATGGATGAATGAATTTACAAGTTATGGTGCCCAAAGACACACAACACCCGAGACACTTAATAAACATGACCAGAAAAACATTTTATATAGTGTGGTGGGATGTGGTCGCTAACCCTCAGTCACGGCCATAATAATTGACTGATTGACTGAGTAATTGAACCAAAACAAAAGAATAACAATAACAATAATAGCAACAACAATAACAAGGTATTCCATTATTTGTTCACCTGTCTGGAAACTAATTAATTAAGACTCTTACCTGTATTTGGTGTTGTTCGGGTAGGCTGGGGTGATTTTAACTACTGCCCTGAAGCCGAGGTAAAGACGTTCAGCTAGTTCCTCCGACATGGTCACTATCTGCTTCCCTGGCACTGTGGGAGGTCAGGTCAGGTCAGGTCATTTGGGGAGTGATAGATACAGGTGACAAATATTGGTTAGGTTAAAGTTATTGATGGAAGTTGTGTTAAGTCTCTTTGTATCTCTAGCAAACACACACACACACACACACACACACACACACACACACACACACCTCTCCCCTCTCTCCCCTCTCACTTAAACACACACACACCTCTCAACAGTCCTCTAACCCCTGTCTCCCTTCCCTCCCCCTCCCTCTCACTCGAAGACACACCTCTCAACACTCCTCTAACCCCTCCTCTCTCAATCCCTCTCCCCCATCCCTCTCACCTCTCATCTGGGTACCATTAAGGCCCAGGTACTTGTCGTCATCAATGGTCACAATGGCGTACTCCTCCAGGTCGTCCATTACCGCCTCCCTTAACGCCAATACGAAGTCCCACTGTACCTCAAAGGACGCCACTAACACGTACACTGTAGGAGGGAAGGAGAGATTAAACACGTACATTGTAGAGGCAGGAGGAGGAGGAGGAGGAGGAGGAGGGGAGGAGGAGGAGGAGGAGGAGGAGGAGGAAAAGAAGTAAGTGAATAGGTGAAGATTTTAGATGGAACGTCAAGAAAATCTAAGAAAATGTGAAGAAATTTATGGAAATGTCAAGAAAATTATGAAAAATCAATAAAATGGATAAAAAGGTGAAGGAAATGATGATAATGGGAAGAAATTTATGAAAATGTAAAATAAAAGTATGAAAAAAATCAAGAAAATTGATGAAAAACTCCAAAATATGAATGAAAATATTTAGAAAATTATGAAAATCAAGAAAATAGATGAAAAGATGAAGAAAATTATGAAAATATGAAGACATTTATGAAAAGGTTGATAAAATATATGAAAAAGTCAGTAAAATCTATGACAACTTTACATAAAATACCTAAAGAAAATCACATGACAATAATCAGAACAAACAATTCTATAATCAAAACAAAAACAATAACACAACTTCAGAATAAAAAAATAACACAAATAAATAATTACCTTAACTAATCACATAATTCTAAGGCGATTATTAATTATCTTACGAATTATAATAAAAATGACCAAAAATAAAAAAAACGACGAGTCATTGGTGTAAATAATTCAAGATGTGACGTCACTATCTATGAAGGCGGATTTATGGCTGGCCAATACGGAGCTTGACGAACGTAAATAAATCACATTGGTAATAAATTCTGGCGTTGGGAGATGGTAACAATGGTGAGAGAGAGAGAGAGAGAGAGAGAGAGAGAGGCGAGAAAGGGACATCTCAACAGATTTCTTTTTCTTTCCATCTCATACATTTTATCCACTTTCTTCTCCCTCCTTCTTGCCCTCTCCTCGTCTCCCCTTCCCTCTCACCCTCTCACTCGTCAACAGAGGCTTCGAACCCCTCTCACGTATTTTTGACGAGCAGGTGTCCGATCACTTTTGCCAAGGTACAATTTTTGTCTCTTCTCTATCTCTCTTTCTTGCTCTTTCTCTTTATCTCTCTTTTTCTTTGTCTCTTTCTGTGTCTCTCTTTATTATATCTCTCCTCTTACTCTCTCTCCCCTCCTTTTTCTTCTATCTCTCTCACTCCTATTCCTCGTTCCTTCCCATCCATCCCTCCTTCCATTCCTTCCTTCTTCACCACTCCTTCCAACCACCATTATTTCTTCCATCTCTTCACTACCCCTGTCCCTCCCTCCATTACCCTCTCCACCCCTCCCTCCATCTCTTCACCACACCTCTCCCTCCCTCCCTCCATTACCCTCCCTCCATCTCTTCACCACACCTCTCCCTCCCTCCCTCCCCTCCATTAACCTCCTCCATCTCTTCACCCACCTCTCCCTCCCCTCCCTCCTTCCATTACCCTCTCCCCCCTCCTCCATCTCTTCACCACACCTCTCCCTCCCTCCCTCCATTACCCTCCCTCCATCTCTTCACCACACCTCTCCCTCCCTCCCTCCTTCCATTACCCTCTCCACCCCTCCCTCCAACCACCTCTCCCTCCCTCCATTAAGGTCATGAAAGCCTAGGAATTTTCACCCAAAATCCAAATTCACGTAAAAAGTAAATATTTACATCTCAGCGTTCGCGTAATCTGTTCACTGAGTCGAGTCGGATTTGCAGATTAAGGGTTATGCGAACAGTGGCCTCTCAGGACAATAGGGGTATATGTGACGTTTTTTTTTAAGTTATGTTATTAGGTTTGGTTAGGTTAGGTTAGGTCAGGTTAGATTAAATTTAGGTAAGATTAGATTAAGGTTAAGTTACGTAGATTAAAGTTAGGTTAGTCAGGTGAAGATAAGGTTAAGTTAGGTTAGTAAGATTGAGGTTAGGTTACATAGATTAAGGTTAGGTTAGGTTAGGTTAGGTTAGGTTAGGTTAATCTTCAGTTGATCACAAACTCGCTCATGTAAAGTTAATGTTATTTGGGGGACCATAAGACTTAATATACTGTATATAACCATACGACTTTCACCTCGTTAAGACTATATTCAATTTGTCGCATCACTCACGGGGAGAGAGGCACCTGGGTTAAAAATATATCAAAGGCAAAAAGTAAATCAGGAAAGGGAAAAAATGAGGAATGGAGGGAAAAAAGAGGCATACACTCACTAAACCACGTGACCAAAAAAATAATAATAATAATAAAAAAAAAATAAACAAAACAAAACCACAACAAAACAAAAACAGAACAAAACAACAAAACAAAACTAACGAAAAAAAAATACTCTTGTGCATTATGCAGAAGACCCGACAGCAGCACCCTTATCCACTACCTCCTAAGAGTAAGCCCCTTTATAATATTTATACTGTATATACTTGTCACACTTGCCAGATGCTTCTGGTGTCATTGTACAGGGGTACCTCGTGACAGCACTAGGATCCCGCTTCCTCTATCAAGGAATAAACAATTGAAATTGAATAAAAAAATAAAAAACAAGAAACAAAACAAAGAAGCACCAAACTAGTCTTTACAGGTAAGATAAAAGGTACCGATTCTTGGTCTATAAACTCAGTTCTTTAGTACCAGGAGGAGGAAAGGGGTGAGGGAGTCAGGGGGAATGGGAGGGCTGAGGGTGATGGAGGGAGGGATGTGGGGGAAGGGGGGTGAGATGGGAGGGAGAGTGAAGGGGAGGGTTGGAAGAGGTGAATTGGGAGGGAAGAGGGGTGAGGTGGGGGATGGAAGGGATGGAAAGGGGGGGGGTGAAGTAGGGGTGTGAGAAGAAGGAGGATTAGTAAGTGCTCATTTAACCTCTATCCATATAAATCAGGGATCGACTTACTGTCCACTCACGAACCCCTGTGTATGTACATGTGTGGGGGGCAGGTGAATGAATCGAATTTTGTTTTACTATTTTCTCTCTCTCTCTCTCTCTCTCTCTCTCTCTCTCTCTCTCTCTCTCTCTCTCTCTCTCTCTCTCAATATCGTGGCCAGGAGGTGTTGCAGGGAGATACCAGTTGATGTTAGCTCAGCCAGTGTTGATATAGTGTGGTGAGAGGCCTCCTACTTCATCTATCCTTCCTCCTAACCTCTCCTACCCTCCCTACCTTAACTTCCTCCCTCCTACCCCTTCCTTCTTCCTTCCTTCTTTCCTCTCCCCTCCTAACCTCTCCTTCCTTCCCTCTCCCCCTCTAACCTCCTTCCTTCCTTCTACCTTCACTGTGAGACTAATAAGTAATTACAAATAAAATTAATAAAGTAATTCAATAATAAATGAGAAAACACACACACACACACACACACACACACACACACACACACACACACACACACACACACACACACACACACACACACACACACACACACACACACACACACACAGGTTTAAATGATACAACAAAATAAAAATACATAAAATTTGCAATGGCTGTTAAGGAGGAGGCAACTGAGGCCAGCTTATGGAGACAGGCGGGTACCATTATAGCCTTGTTTGTGTGTGTGTGTGTCTAAAGGAGATGCAAGTTTATGAAATCACAACATGAGATAAGGACATGGAACAACCTTTTCATTTTGTATATGATTTACGTAGGATAACAAACACACCAGGATTTAGATTCATGGCGAGAGAATTAACCTTAGACTGTGACACAAACCCACTAGAGAGAGTGGCGAGTCTGGTAACGGAGAAGTCAGTTGCCGCTACAAAAAAAATCCTACGTACATATCCGATCTGAACCCTTTTATGACAGTGCATGAGGTATACTTAAGTAAGAAATTTATCCCGGGTTTTCAGCGTGAGTCGTTCATCAGGCTGAGACTAATGTAACACAGCCTTAAAGTAGAGACAGGTAGGTGGAGTCGCACACCAGTAGAGTTGAGAGTGTGTCAGCGCGATGACAAGTGAACTACATGTGCTGATTGATTGTACGCTCTCTGCCAGTGCCGGATTAAAGGTGTCATATGCTGATTTTCTCCAGTATCAGTGAACTCTTAAATGAAAATGTATATGTGCCTGAATTATGTAATTATGTACTAGGAATCTATAGTTAAGTTTGGAATTGTCCCTTATGTTTTGTTTAAAATATTTTATTGGACAAATGTATTTTAAATTCTTTGTCTATATTTATCAAGTATTTACACCTTTGTCAATAAACTACTAACTAATGTATGTAAGTTATGTATGTATATGACTTATCTTCCTGTTCAATAATATAACCTTTTATCTCCCCCATTTATTCATTATCCCATTCACACATTTATTCACGTCTTCTCTTCACAGGTCGAGAATAACTAAAAAAAATACTTATAAAACAGAGAGAGTTGGATCCCCTTCAGCAACTTGGCTTATTACTATTAATAAAAAGAATCAGAATCGCTAATTGGTATGTAGATTAGTTCATGGTTTATTATTTTGGAACTCTCTCTAGTCTGGAGGGTCTGATTTTGTCTGTTTGTCTGTCTGTCTGTCTCTATATGTCTGTCTGTCTGTCTGTTTATGTCTGTCTGTCTCACTCTTTACCTGTTTGTCTCTTTAGCTGTCTGCAATAATAAATAATAATAATAATAATAAACGGTATATTTATAAAGTTGCAGCCGGTGGCTGAAAATATACAAACTTACATGTGATTTAAACATAATGATATAATATGCGTTCAATACATTTACAGGGCTGTACAATACATAAATCAGGAGTTGTTTATTATTTTAACAATAGATGGGATGGTGCTATAAGTGTCGGCGCTTGTGGGCTGAATTTTGTTTTAGTGGCGGACTGTGCTAGGTGGGCGGGGGACTGCAGGTGGCAATGACGAGGATGGTGCAGTAGTCCACTGCCAAACCTTGCTAGTGCTTGGTGGTGGAGGTCACTGAGGGATGGCATTTCCAGGGTGGAGAGAGCGTTGTTGTAGCCGGAGTAGTCCGCGCCGAGCATGATTCTGCAGGCCCTCTTCTGTACCTTCTCTAGCTGACGTTGTTGGGTGGAGTTGATTGAAGACGACCAGGCTGGTGACGCATGCGTTAGTTTGGGGAGAATAAAGGCGTTGTAGATGGTCCTCAGCTCTGGCGTGGGTGCCTCAAGTGACCTGAGTCGTCGTAGCATGTAGAAACGGTACGAGGCTGCCTTGATAGTGTTGTTTACATGGGCCTTCCAGTCCAGTTTGTGGTCTATAGTTACACCCAGGAGTTTGGCAGACTGCACTAACTAAAGAGGATGGGCACCCACTGTAACTGCTGGAGCTTACACAGGAGTGGTGGCGGTATTGATGTACATGACTACGGTCTGTCTGTCTCTTAGTATGTCTTAGTCTCTCTGTGTGTCTCTCTCTCTATCTGTGAGAGAGAGAGAGAGAGAGAGCACAACAGGTTAATTGACTCCAGGTAAAGGGCGAGAGAGTGAGAGTTGCATTAAACAACACATATTTTCTCACTCAATTATTTAAATTTCGACGCCTTAGTGGAAACCCTGTGCCTAATGACCTTAATGTGTCAATTGCCTCGTTAGTAGTTACGTCATTAAGCTTAACTGAATCACAATCACTTGCCAAATTGAGAGCATTATGGGGGTGACGAGAGATATAATTTGTGTGTGCGTGTGTGCGTGTGTTTACAATTAAGTTCCATGTATATGTTTACCTGCGCTTACATACATTAGTGTCTACCTGTCTATCTACCTGTAAATCTACATCTACCTATTAACAAAATATGCACTTTTATGTAATTGCCCCAAATACGTAAATAAACTCGAAAAAACAAGTGAACATCAGCGTATATATATATATATATATATATATATATATATATATATATATATATATATATATATATATATATATATATATATATATATATATATATATTTATGTTCGGGAAAATGGAAACAACAGGTACCTTAGCTTTCGTCTTTATTCAGACATCTTCGGTTGCCTCTGAAGATATCGGAATCAATTGTGGATTTACATGATATATATATATATATATATATATATATATATATATATATATATATATATATATATATATATATACATATATATATGGTAAAAGTGTTTATAGTTTATAAGTTCCATGACTAACAAACTCCATGAATAAATAAGCGAGCAACAACGTGTTTAAAATTTATAACTTGATGGACTTAAAATTGCGTTGAAAAACAAATGAACATCGTGTTCATATTTCAACAACTCCAGGATTTATAAATGTTAAAAGACACATCGCGACGATCTTGTTTATATATAAATCCCACTTTAAGGAAATATATACTCTATTTATAAACAAGTAAGCATCGTGTTTATATTTTCTCCAGAGGTTATGTCGTTTATAATCTAGAAGGTGTTGAATCTACAAGCTGTTGACAAGACAAGTGAGCATCAAGGATTACTTCTCACCCCCTTAGTGTTATAGTTATGATCCAATGGACAGTTGAGATAGCCAGTTATGATTGCCAGTTGAGATAGCAAATTGCAGTGACCAACAATGATCATAAATTGCAGAATAACGAGATGATACGGACAGGTGTGTTGGGCAATAATCAACAGGTAGCTCACCCCGGGGTCAAAGTCAGGTCAAATATATGAGTATACTCACCCTGGGGTCAAAATCAAGGTCAAATCAAGGTGGAGGTTAGGTCATACTCACCCCAGGGTCAAAATTAAGGTCAAATTAAGATGAAGGTTAGGTTATAACCACCCCGAGGTCAAAATCAAGGTCATACTCAGCCCAGGGTCAAAATTAAGGTCAAATTAAGGTCATACTCACCCCGGGTCACGTGTAGGCTGCTGTGTACAATCTCCTGCATGATGTGGTAGCGGTTGGTGGTGTAGTCATAGGGAACACTATACTCCTGAGTGATGTTTAGTCTATGGTGCTCCGCGAAGCTCTGTGGTGGTAATGGTGATGCATGTATTCATAAAGTAATGTATATGTATTCATAGTTATACATGGTGAGAGAGAGAGAGAGAGAGAGAGAGTATACGTAAATATATTCATAATCTCTTTTTTTCTGTATCACACACACACACACACACACACACACACACACACACACAAGGGGTGTTTACATTACAGGTAGGATCAGTTATCATATGTTCTGTATGATGGTTCCTTACTCTACCATCTCTCTCACTCTCACTTTCTCTCTCTCTCTCTCACTCACTCACTTCCTCCTTCTCTCTCTTTCTGTCTGTATATTTCTCTCTCTCTCTCTCTCTCAAACACACATATTCTCTCTCTCTCTCACTCACTCACTTCCTCCTTCTCTCTCTTTCTGTCTGTATATTTCTCTTTCTCTCTCTCACTCTCTCTCTAACACACATATTCTCTCTCTCTCTCTCTCTCTCTCTCTCTCCTCACTTCCTCCTTCTCTCTCTCTCTCTCTGTCTGTATATTTCTCTCTCTCTCTCTCTCACTCTCTCTCTAACACACATATTCTCTCTCTCTCTCTCACACATTCTCTCTCTCACTCTCTCTCTAACACACATATCTCTCTCTCTCTCTCTCTCTCACACACACAGAACAATTTTATATAGCCTCGAACAGCACCTGAATGTTATAATGAAAATAATGCGAGGATGTACACACACACATACACACACACACACACACACACACACACACACACACACACACACACACACACACACACACATATATACACACACACACACACACACACACACACACACACACACACACACACACACACACACACAGAGTGATTATTTTAATGTACCAACCGTTTTCAACCTCCGTGTTTATCCTGACTTTCCTCTGTTTGTTCTCCATAACCTCTCATAACCTTCCCCTTACCTACCATAACCTCTCTATTACCTCCCCACACCTATCCTAACGTCACCTAAACCTCCCCACATCTTCCATAACCTCCTTTAACCTCTCAAAACCTCACATAACCTCTCCACACTTCACCTAAACCTCCCCACATCTTCCATAACCTCCTTTAACCTCTCAAAACCTCACATAACCTCTCCACACTTCACCTAAACCTCCCCACATCTACCATAACCTCCTTTAACCTCTCAAAACCTCACATAACCTCTCCACACTTCACCTAAACCTCCCCACATCTTCCATAACCTCCTTTAACCTCTCAAAACCTCACATAACCTCTCCACACTTCACCTAAACCTCCCCACACCTACCATAACCACCCGTACCCCACCCTAACCTCCCATAACTACCTCAAACCTAACCTTCCAACTTCACCATAACCTCTCCACATCTACCCTGACCTCCCATAACCTCACCTTGACGGCCTCTTTGATCTGGAGGTAGTTCCTGGTGTGTTCCGTAAGTAGAACGAACTGACGCCAACTGTACGCTTTCATGAGGGAGATAAGAGCCTTCACTATCTTGGTTGAGGCTGGCATGGTTCTGGCTACGGTGTAATATTTAGTCTTGTTGCTCACACGCTGATCAGCACACTTCTGTAAATGAAGTGTAAAAAAGTGTAAATTAATGGTTTGTAAATGTTGGTATATATTATGTAAAAGAAGGTGTAATTGCTGTAAATGAAGTGTAAATTAATGATCTGTAAATGTTGGTATATATTATGTAAAAGAAGGTGTAATTGCTGTAAATGAAGTGTAAATTAATGATCTGTAAATGTTGGTATATATTATGTATGTAATAGGCCCCTGTCTCATCAACAGAACGTATTATATAAATGGGTCAATACATCTGATATTATATTCAGATTCACCACCCTGTAACTTTCCACTGTCTATGAGTAAGACATGAGATTGACACGTGAGCGGGCAACTTACCCAAGAGGGCGAGACCCATAGCTCAGCATTCCTGTAAGCACGCACTGCGATGCCCCTAAGCTTCAGTAGCTCACCTCAAGTCATATCGTAAGGACGTGACCTAACGTTTATCATACATAAACGCCGTCCCTTTCTCATTCACTCCTAGACAGTGAGACTTACGGTTGATATACACTCAGGAATTATATCTACAACCTTTTATAATAAAACAAAGGAACTACCGTTTGGGTTAATTGGACAAGCAGCCGATTCATGTAAAAGAAGGTGTAATTGCTGTAAATGAAGTGTAAAAAAGTGTAAATTAATGGTCTGTATATGTTGGTATATATTATGTAAAAGAAGGTGTAATTGCTGTAAATGAAGTGTAAAAAAGTGTAAATTAATGGTCTGTATATGTTGGTATATATCATGTAAAAGAAGGTGTAATTGCTGTAAATGAAGTGTAAATTAATGATCTGTAAATGTTGGTATATATTATGTAAAAGGTGTAATTGCTGTAAATGAAGTGTAAAAAAGTGTAAATTAATGGTCTGTAAATGTTGGTATATATCGTGTAAAAAAGGTTTTGTCTCACTCGCTGGACTGTACTTCTGTAAATGAGGTGTAAAAAAAGTGTAAATGAAGTAGTAAAATGTTGTAAATCAGATGTAAAAAGGTCGTGAATAAGGTGTAAAATCTGTTGTAAATAAGGTGTAAATTAAAGGCTGTAAATGAAGTTTAAAAATTTTTGCAAATCAGATACAAAAAAGTTGTAAATGAAGTGTAAAAACTTTTGTAAAATTGGTGTAAATTAAAGGCTATAAATATTGGTAAAGGATGGCTCTGATTGGTTGATTCACTAGCCAATGAGAGACCAGAAATAAACGCTTGAACCAATAATAATTAAACTTCATATCAATACAAAATAAAATTAACATAATGAGCATTAAAAAAATTACCCTATTAATTTATTCTAAAAATCAAGATTAATTTATAATTATTTCAACACAAAGAAATACCTCGATGAATTAAATATTCTAATTAATTAATAACTTTATAGAGAATATTGGGTAATACTCTTCTTCCGTTTTCTATAAGGGATTTAAAGATCTATTTCCCGTTTTCTAAGAGTTTAATCATATTGTCCTGTCTCTCGTTTTCTATTGTCCTGTCTCCCGTTTTCTATTGTCCTGTCTCCCGTTTTCTATTGTCCTGTCTCCCGTTTTCTATGTTAACTGTATTACGTCACAAGTCAACTTCTTCCATATCTGTCGTCCATCAGTGTACCAGACTTAACCTGTTGTTAATATCAGGGAACCAGTTTAAGTACACTGTCTATATCACTACTTAATATATTACTACTAATAAACTTTACTTACTTAAAATAATAAAGAAATACTTATAAATTGTGTGTAGGTTTTATAAGTTATTTTAATGTTTCTTACCATTGCTTACTGCTGTACTATATTTATCATTATTATAAATTATTTCAGCGCTCTCGAAGTCATTTTAAAGATTAGATCGAATTTTAAACGTCACTTTAGGTAGTATATATATAAATATCTTATTTAAGGTAAAAACACACTTAGAAATTAGTTACTAGAGGAAGAATTAGTGGAACATCCTCCAGCGTCGCCGCCATGTCACGCACTGAGGTCTTGCGGGTCTTGGCGGGAAATTGAAGAATTTGAAGTTGTCATAATTTATCTTGAACGTCAAAGCGCTTTTACTTTAATCACTTAATACTAATTTGGGTAATTTTAAATTTCATAATAGTTATATGATACTGCAAAAAAAATGTGAAAGCTTTAAAAAAAAATTATGTTTATTAATGTAAACCAGCTGATGGCTGGCCAGGCGTTTTTGGCGGGAAAACCTCACGCGATACTAACATGTGTATTCTAAAAATTTTCCTAATTTTGACAATATTAGCACGATAAAAACTTAAATAATACGGTAAATAAAAAAATTATTTGTTCATATGGCATATGGATGGAAAATATGTGTTTGTAATATAAATGAAAAAAAATAATATATTTATACCATCAACTGTTTAGTCAGGCGACAGATGTGTTTGCAGAATTAATTTGTCACCTTACCGTAAATATTTTTCATTACGCTTCAAATTAACATCATGAAAAACTAAAAAAAAATTATTATATACAGTACTTATAAAAAAAATATTTGTTTTCATCACAGCTGCCGAGTCATTTGGCCCAACATTAGCGGGAACTTATTATGGCGACTTAATCACATATTAATCATATTTTCATTCCGTTTGATATGAAAAATAACTAAAAAAATTAATCATCAATTAAAAAATATTATAAATGAGTTTAATTTTTATTTTCAATTTGATTTTAATTCCGTTTTATTTAGCGATTTTGTGAATGTGATTTATATGTTGTGATTGGCTGCCTGATTTGTATTCTGGACTTTGATTGGCTAATATATTGGCCAACACGAGTATTATGGTCTGTGATTGGCTGTCTCCTAGTTGTAAGAATTCGTTAATTAGTCGTATCTATCTGTCTGTCTGAGAGAGAGAGACCTGTATTCAGTTGAACAGATCGATAAACAGAAATACCAGATATTCACACACACACACACACACACACACACACACACACACACACACACACACCAAATATTGGGTACTGTACTAAAGCAGATGACACCTTCACCTGTACTGGCTCTGCATGACACCCAACTGCTCTCTCTCTCTCTCTCTCTCTCTCTCTCTCTGTCGATAATAAAATAAAGAAACCTTCACGTACTAAAAATTTTGCAAAATTTTAAAGAATTTCAGACAAGCCACAATTTTTCCCCCGGTAGATATGAATAAATATTGGTACACAAAGGATCCGTCTAAAATCATCTGGTGAAACAAAAGAGCATAAATATTCCTAACAAATGACGGGTAAAATAACAAAAAAAAAAGAAAAAGAAAAATATTACGTATTTGAGATAAAGAAAACTTATTTATAGGCATTTTGAAAACGACATAGTCACACAGACGAACCAAAAAGAATGCCATTGATTCAGACGTCAATAAATACTGAAACAGACGGAAATATGGAGAAACAAATGAGCATCAGGAATCTAATCACAACATAAGACGATTGAAACAAAACCACAAAACATGTAAATTCTCCCCCCAAAATAATTAAAATCAGACGTAACTACATAAAATAACACCAAATTAAACCAAATACCCTCACAAACATTATTCACTGACCCTCACCGGTATACATTAGCACTGAAAGCGATAAGCGAACGTAAAGTGGCGAAACAAAAGAGCATCAGGGATATTATACTAACGTGGGATTGAGCACTGGTGGAAGGCGAGAGAGAGAGAGGGTGAGATAATGCATATACATCACCGCTCAATACAGTGTGTGGATAGAGACGGGGAGGAGACCCAGGTGAAGGAGAGATAAGAGACAGGAACAGACAGATAGACAGAAAACAGTGAGAGTAATAATTGATTTATTTGAATATAATGATTGATAGATAGATTGACGGGGAGAAAAACAGACAGACAGACACTGAACAATATCCTAACTACCGTACCATCAACAAAGGGTCGTCAGCATCAGCCCCCAGAGACTTAATTACAGGGGAAAATTCTCAATAATGCCCAGAATTTTAACATTAAGACGAAAGAGAAGAAATTAAAGGCATTCCATTTTGTTTAGGTATTTTTTGGGGAGCGTTTCTGTATGTTTGTCGGTAATGATCTGTCTCTCTGTCTGTCTGTCTGTCTTCTTATACCTCTTATCTACCGTCTACCGTCTACCGTCTACCGTCTACCGTCTACCCAGCACTAGGCAGCTACAAGGTAAACAGGAGGTTCGCCAATACCATAACAGCTGACATGAATAATTGATGGCGGGTCCTGCCAGCCCCAGTTCCCACCTGTTATTATACAGGTATGTGCTGTTATTATACTGTTATGTGGTGTTATATCATGTTATGTCATATTAACACAAACTATGACTAATCAATGTGTTAAATTCACCATAACTAACATCAAATACATAATGCAGTGTACGTTAAATTTTACCATTGTATATATATATATATACACATTACATTACATATTAGTGGTGAAATAAATGTATTTTACCTAGATGCCTCTCTCTCTCTCTCTCTCTCTCTCTCTCTCTCTCTCGCTAAACCCCTCCTGATCCATAAAATCAAAATTTGCCGAGTGGGTGTAAATGCATCTAGTTCCTCAGCACACACACACACACACACACACACACACACACACACACAGAATCTCTCATCTCTCACTCTTCTCCTCCCCTACACTCACTAAACTCCTCTGATCCCTTTATTAAGAATTCCAGAGTGAATCTAATTGTATTCAGATCCCACAAGACCACCACTAACACGCACTGAGCCCAGGAGGTGATAGATCGTCACGCTCTACACCGCAACAAGTGTATTCACTGGTGTCATCTGTAAACAACTAACTACTCGTGTTCATCTTGCTGTAAAAATAGAGCCACGGGAAACACTGTGTAAATCTGGGACTGGCAGATGTTTTTAATGTTTGGGATTGGAGGCAAAAATCGGGTGTCGTATATATATATACTTTTTTTTAATTGGAGGTAAATTCTGGGTATTTTTCGGATTGGAGGGAAATTCTGGATATTTTCGGATTGGAGGGAAAT